AACATCTTTTATGTTTGTAGTCTCACAGATATTTTTTTTTTTTAGAATATAATCTGTGATGGAATAAGGACCAGAGGGTTTGTAAGTTGTTTCAGTAAATTCCTTAACCTTGATATAAAGGTTGTATGTATTTCTGTTTGTTCTAAAATATTCAGTAGCTGCTTCTATATTTATCTGTGAACTTACATGAATTCTTCATTTTTCATGATGCTTTACTCTCATGCTTTGGAGGAAAATAACTTGTTTTCTTTCAAATTTAGCATCACTGAGTAGGATGACTGGAATTCTTAGTGGACTGTGGTTAATACAGCAGTGCCTAGAAGAGCAAGGAGGAAATGTTAGGAGGTTAATTACATTACATAAATTTAAACCTGAGCTAGGCTGTAGTAGCTTTAGAAGTGGTGTATCTGTAAGAATACTGTCATGGAAATAGCAGTAGAAAAAAGAAAATACTGATCAGTAAGTGATTTTTCTTTTGATGTGCTTCAGTTCTACTTTTTTCAATGCTAAAATTGGGCTGTATGGTCTCAGCCTTATACCAAGGCTTGAAACTTCTGAATGTTATCATTGCAGTCTTTTCAGACCTAGTTGATTCTACAATTCTGTGAGTATGAAAGTGGGGCACAGCAAACACCTTTCTTGTGAAAGTGAATTAACATGTTGGAGATACGCCATGAAATGAGGTGAATTAGTCGGGTTTTATTGGGAGGAGCAATATAACACTAGTTCATATACCTGGGAGAAAGGTCTGCTTCAGCGCTCTTAAGCTTATGACTTTAGTTGTGCATACCAACTTTATTGATATGTACAACCTTTCACTGTGGTACCTTGTGGAAATGGTATTAATAGCACAGCTTCTTATAATAAAGATACCTTCTGACTCCTTGTTTCATAGGTGAGGTGCAAACTATTTTACAAATACGTCTGGAAACAATTTTTCTTCATCTTTGAGCTAATTAAAAGCCTTGAGATTTTTCTTAATGGATGTCATTGCTTCAGAGTAGTGCGGACAACTTGGGTAGTGCAGTTCCCCAGTGTTCATTTGTATTCAGTTCTGTAACTTGTGTCAACATCAATATGGCCATTGGGTTGCTGTTAGTATTTTCTCGACTGCTTCCTCATTTTTTTTTGTATTTTAACTTTTTGGAATGTGTCAAAAGATGTAAAATCATGTTTGATGCTGAAGGTCATTTATAAGGAGTTTGAGCTGAGCATTATTTTCATGGAATTGTGCTTGTTTGGTTTTTTGTTGTTTTTTTTTTTTCCCCCCCAGAAAAAGTCATCGTTAGTCATGCCTTAGTATTTACTGGGACAGTACTGTGACACTGCAAAGTGTTTTTTCCTAGCTCTTGATGAAAAGATAACCCTAAACTGTTGAAGAATTTGTCAGTCAACAGACTTTTGGCAAAGATTGAGCACTAAACGCAGTAGTTGTTGAAAATAGATTTTAAATGCTGAAGTTACTTTAACAAATGAACTTCCATAAAGCCGCAACTATCGTCTCTACCCAGGGACTGCGTAGGAATGTGGTAGAAGTGTCTCTTATTTTCTTTAGCGATGGCACAAAAACTCTGTGTGAGGGGCTCCTGTGGTAAAGTTCTCATATTTTGTTTGCCAAACTCCATGGTCTCAACAAAAGCATCTTCTAGACACAGTATAATATTATGCATCATGTTTTCTTGCTTCAGGGTCCTTACGTGCTACAGCCCATATGTGCTGTAATGACAATGCTTTTTATAGATGGAGTGACTGAAAATTAAAAAGAAGTAATGTGCAATGTTTTACCTCATGTATTGCAGCTGGTGATAATCTCAGAATAGAGATTATTGTTTTTTACTGTCTTTGATTGTGGGGGTTGAACTGTTAGCAAAATGAGCCACGAATGTCAGAGTGCAAGCAGTGAAGCAGTTTTGAAAGATCAGTTGAAAAGGTAAGTATTTATTTGGTGAAAAAACTTTGCTTCACTTGGACAAACATATGTAAAAGTACTTGGACAAACTTTCATTGCTTGCAGTAAGTGCTTCAGTATCTTTTGTAATTTTGGAAGAGCAGTTGGCTCTCAACTGTAACTAGCTACAACTAACTTTGTATTAAAATTTAACAAAAAAATACAAAATTTTTCCAGTGCTTATTTAAATGTTGATCCCTTCACACACATAGAATTATAGAATGGTTTCAGTTGGAAAGGACCTTGAGATCATCTAGTTCCACCCCCCCTGCCATGGGCAGGGACACCTTACACTAGACCATGTCACTCAAGGCTCTGTCCAACCTGGCCTTGACCACTGCTAGGGATGGAGCATTTACCAATTCTTGGGGCACTTGGGCACTTGGTGTACTACTTAGAAACAGGATCTTGCACTCCGGAAAAGAAATCATACTTTTAAAAAATGTCTGAATAGTATGCTTTAATTAGCATGTATGTTGAAACAGCGTGAATATGCTGTTTGATTTTTCAACTGTATTCTTCTTTATACTATCGTAGTAGTTTCACTCTCAAACATGGCCATTATTTACGTTGCTCTTTTTGAAAATAGTGTTTCCATAGACAGGGATTCAGTTTACCTCTAAAGCTGGTATTTGTGGTAGGGTTTTTTTGGTTTTTTGTTTTGTTTTTTTTTTTTTTTTTAAAGCTTCAATGCTTATTTCAGCAACAGGAGTATCTTTTTCTAGAAATTCATAGAAAATGAAAAGTGGTCTGGAACAGACATGTTTTCATATGCAGTGCTTTTTCTATTTAGTCTATAATTCCACAATATTTATAGTTTGTTAATAAAACTTGCATCTTTCTTGCCAAGTTCTAAGGAATGCCTGGATGCTACTTCTGAGAGCCAAATACATATGTTGCTAAGCTTGTTTGATTTGCTTATGCACATTTTGGGGGGGGGGGAAGCACGTCAAAATCTTGTAACTGTTGTGTAAAATTTTAAAGAAAGTGTAACACGAAGTTTACAAGTAAATCTTTTTTGTAGGTGTTCAACAGATGCTCAAATTTTTACTTCATTATAATAATTTCTTTGGATCCACGCGTGATAGTGAAGTAACATTGTCAGGGTGGATATAAATTTGATCTAAGGCTCTTACTGGGAAGTGCAAACCTAATTAACTATTTCTTAAGTCACATATTTTTATTTTTCTGGTTATATTCAAACACTCTTGTGGCTAAGTTAATTCACTATGATAAACAGTATTTTCTGGCAGTTTTCTGAATGGCCTTCAGTATGAAAAACATTATCTAGAGATGCCTACTGAAACATTTGATAGTGAAACAAAATGAAACTTGGTTTAATTTTGAGCTTCCTTGAAAGTATGATGTAAGTGCAGGTTTTTATATCAGGACATAAAATTGCTTGTACTGATCTGTTCTGCAGTTTTAGATCCATTGGTGTTGATAACACAGTAGGTATGACCTTGAAAAGTAAAGTTATGTGCTGTGGAGTACAGTGGTAAGACTGGCTGTTGAATGGGTCCCATATGCCTCATGGGTTGAAAACTGGATTAGGAGATAGCCATGTGCCCTCTGCAGCAAGGGTTCATTCTCAAAATGCCAGTTGCAGAAGTCTAACTTGAATAGCTGATTTCTCCTGCTCTGTGTAACACAGATGGTGGTGGAGAACAGTCCAGGTACTGAATAGCTGAAGTATTTTCTGGCAGTTCTTTGGTAGCCTACTAGCAAATGGGAAAATACCTAACCTGTTTTTCTTTCGAAAAGGTAATGAAAAGATGTAGCAAGTTATGTTGATCTTATATTTATACACATTGCTCAATGTACATATGAAAAGGGAAATGTTTTCTGTGCTAGCGTGTATTACTTGTCTTCCCTGTTTATCTTTCTTCTTTTGTTCATGTACTTGCTTTTAGATACTTATGCTAAATCAAAAAGTGAGAAAAACTGGGGGGTGAATTATTGATAACTACCTTGTTTGGTTGTAGGTTCCTTCCCCCCCCTCCTTGTTTTTCTTTTTTTATTCTTTTAAACAAACTCTTGTATTATAATATGGGTTTACTACTGGAAATCTGTGTTGTAATAAACAATGTGCAACTTTCTCCATGTTTTTAAAGTGCCTGTCCTATTTTGAAAGGCTATTTTAATCTGAAGCTTGCAGAGTTAAGTTGGAAACAGTACTAAATCCTGTACTATAGCAATATATGTACCTGTAGCATAAATGTTACCTATTCTTAAATCTTGGAAGTCAGTGTTTTATATAACTTGGCAGCCCACTGCCGGACAATGTGGGTCAGTAGTACCACTGAGATCCTGAAATAAGTGCCTTCTTTGTGACATTGCTGAGGGCTTGTGGTCTGTGTGACTATAGTAGTCCCACATATTACCAAAATTTTGTTTGCCTGCATGTTTTTTGATCTAGCAGTTGATTTCACCCTTTTGGAATACTCCCACGGACAGAATAGATGAAGTTTCTTAAGAAGCTGTTCCACCTAGTGTAGTAAGATACGTATTCTGGACTTGAAACAATACAGCTATAAAACCCATAAATCTTGTACTGCCAACAACTTGCATTATGTGGTGCGTATATATACATATATATATTGTGTATATATATATTTAAATCTGGTTAGATTAACTTAAATTCATGGCAACAGGGAGAAGTGGGAATCGCTCAATAGAATCAGATAACGTGTGTCTGCTGGGTCAGAATTGTGGTGGCGGGTCACAAGAAGAGATTAGAATTAGTAGATTTTTAATTTTCTGCTGCTCTTTTTACCTGCACTGAATGTATTTTGATGATGTTGCTTTCTCTTAATATCTACAGCTTAATGCTTGATTATGACTTTTAAGATAAATTCAGTTTAATAAAAATGATGATGCTTTTTTTTTTTTGCTTTCCATTTCCATTATATCTTGCAGAATGTTTGTAACTTGATAGAAATCCCCAAGATTTATTTATAGATGTAGAAGTTAAAATCAAGAAATGCAATATCTATCTTTACAATAGGAAATATGTGCAAATATAGTAATTATATTCTGTTTTCTTTCCAGAAACCATAGTCCATTAATGAGTTTTGGAGCCAGCTTTGTCAGTTTTTTGGTGAGTAGTTGAGAGCAGACAGTATACCTCTCTTCTCTTGTGGTTAATGTTTATATGTGCTTGCATGTGTTTGTAACGGTGGTACTTTGTTTCTTTTTGTGAGGCTTTTTTCAAATTTTTAGATTAAATGTAGCTACAAAACAAGTCATTATTATAAAAAACTTGTTTATTCATGTGATTTAAACAGAAGGTAAAGGTTCTGTGATTCAGCTTCTCAAATGTATGAAATGTTTGTGTTCCATTAGAAGAGCCATAATAAAGCCCTCTCTTAAATGAGCACTAGAGGTCTTATTAAAATAATAATCATAACTGCCATTTCCTTCATAGCTTTTGCTATTGAAAATTTCTTCATCCATATTGGCTAGTGAAAGTTCTTAATTCAGTCCATTCGCATTGCTTCAGTTTTGAATAGACGAGAACTGAGAATATTGACAGACTAAAGAGTCATAATGGGCCTGTTAATGCTTTTTGTGATGTGCAGACTTGGTTTCTTCCAAGCCATCAAGAAAGAGTCATAATGAGTCTGTTCAATGCTTTTCTTTTTTAATGTATTAAAAAGAACATCTTTAGAAAAAATGAGCAGGTATATTAGAAAATATTTAGATCTTGGTTTTTAGACTGTCCTTATTCTGACTTTGGTGCTTAATCTTAGATAAAACAGAAATAATCTATGGTAAGACTACCTTTTTTTAAGGACAGAATTTATTATAATATGCCAGAAATAGGTAAGTTGCAAATGAAATTAATTTGAATTTTCTCTAATGTTTGTAGACCTTGCAATATGGAAAACTTTATTCATTAGGAAACCTCCTGGGACATATGCTTGCTTTTAAGTCCATGGAGAGAGAAAGGAAAGAGGGAGAATCTCAGGCTTGCTTATCTGAATTAATGCGCTGAACCAGTGTAACATCACAGTGCAGCATCACTGGATCTTGAAAATATCTTGCTTAGCTACTGTTCTAAACATAGCAGCAGCACTCTCTGTGCCGGTGTCATTCAGAGCTTTTGTTTAATAAGGCATCAGGAGAAGAAGTTATTTTGTCCTGAAATTCTTTCGAAATTGGTTCATCAGTAGCTGGAGTCTGATGCAGGGTTGTTTTTTGTGGGTGTTTTTTTTTTTTTTGGTTTGTTTTTTGTTTGGTTTTTTTTTCCTTTTCTTCATATGTGTGTAGGTATTGTGGTTATTATTTTGAAATAGGTATTACTTGTTACTTGGCTTTGGAGGCTTGCTACTTACATGGATGAATTATACAAAAGCAGTACCTGCTCAGATGCAAATCATGCCTTAGAAAACCATGATTAAAAATTAATATATATGAATTTTTCTTCTGATTAATGTAATGTGACAGCACATTCAGTTTGACTGCATATGAAACTTTAAGACGAGGAGTTAGGACTTAATGTGTTCTGGTTTTTGTCTTGAAATTTTGGTGAAGTACTCTCAAATCTAGTTTGTTTTTTCTGTGTAGAAGTATGTGTACTGATCTGTGTGTATTAATACTTTTTTCTTAATAGTAAGTTTTATTGTCAAGCTTTCATACAAACTTTTACCCTCCTATAGCTTTTATAGAAAAGAAAATATTTGTGATTTTTATCATTCAAATGTGTTTGGGTTTCGGTAGAATGCCATGATGACATTTGAAGAAGAAAAGATGCAGCTGGCCTGTGATGACTTAAAGGCTACAGAGAAACTCTGTGAAAGTGAAGAAGCTGGAGTTATAGAAACAATCAAGAATAAAATTAAAAAGAATGTAAGAATATTATTTGTAGACATGGAACTCTGTATTGGATAAAAATTTCTGGAACTTCCTTTCTGTTCTCTTTGCATTTTGAATAGATGATTTTTGATACGTAAAGAGCAGCTGAGATCAATAGTAAATTCAGAAATTAAGTAAAATATTTTGCTTGGATTTCCTAAGTATCATATATACTCAGAGTCAGTAATCTCTCTTCTGAAGCTTGTTTTGATGTTAGTAATATCTTTAACACATCAAATTAGTGTCCTACTGGAATTATTTCAGGAAGCTTGTAGCCCATCTAATTGAGGCTAACTTTAATTCATACATGCTCTAGGAGCAGTCAGAAGTTGTGATGTTGAGGCTGCATAGTGCTGTGTGCCAGGCATATTCCTAGGGAATTTTCTTTCCTTTTTTAGACTTTTCATTCTAAATAAGAATAAAGCATGCAGATTGAGAACTAGTTGAAGTAGTCATACAGAAATGTCCAGTGAGTGGTCTGCCTACTGTGACATAGCAGATCTACAGCAGAAGTAAAAAGTTCTGAATGCAACATATTTAATTCTCTGCTCTTTAGAGGCACTACATTTTCTGACACTTATCATATACCTCTTCTTGTGCTCTTCGTATCTGACATCTTTTAGTTGCATGTCTGATGCCGTTAATAATAAAATTAAATTTAAATCTTTTCCCACTATTTGTAGAACCTTAAGAAAAATATTTGGTAGTATATGTGTAAGATTTCCCTGTTTGTTAAGTAGGATATTGCTGGATGACCTGTCAAAGAAATTTTTGCACTTCAGAATGCTGAGTTAAATGAGTAGCAATACTACCACTTGGAGTTCATTTTAGACTTTGTTAGTTTTTCAGATTGACTAGTATTCTGTATTATCTTTGTTAACAGTTTTCTGTGCTCTGTTTGTATATTCCAAACAGGTTGATGGACGAAAATCCACTCTATCCATGATAGATCGTCTACAAAGACAAATAATTGTAGCAGACTGTCAAGTCTACTTGGCTGTGCTCTCATTTGTAAAACAGGAGTTATCAGGTGTGCTGGGGCTTTAAGGTTGAGATGCATTTTTTGTGTGATATCTTTTTAATAAAGTTTGATCATAAAGTGGCAAGGTGACTGTCAGTAACGATGATTGTTTTGTAAGAAAGAGCATAGTTCCATTTGAAACATTCCAAGATCGGTACACTTGCAGATGTAGTACCTATGTGTAGGTAGTAGTATCATAAAATGAGTTGTATTACTACAGATTACAGCTTTCTGCTTTTTTCATACCAGTAATCATATTCAACCTGTTCTCCTTAGATAGGCTGGAATCCTTTGCATGTTCCAATAGAAGCATTTGAGAAGTTGGTACAAAGATGGGTAGCATCTGCGTGCTTTGTGTGGCAAATAAGATAAAAGAAGCTGTAAGTCCAGGCTACTGGACTTACATTTTCCCCATTAGGGAAAATCCTAGTGTCGCATATGCATTATGTTTGTGACAACTCAGGGAGGTGACAAACTGCCAGTGAAAGTAATCTTAAATGGAGCTGTGGTGAAGATGGAACTGCTGAATCGCTTCTTTTTCTCTGGTCAGAGAGAATAGTGTGTCCGTGCATGCCAAAGAGGTTAATCCAGTCAAGTTGAATACAAACCTCCTTGTGTCAGCTGCAAAGCTGTTTCTAATGTTCTCTTGCATTCCTGGATTTCTTGCATTATCTTAAAACATGCCTTCTTCTATTAGTTTATAGAAAATGAGGTCAAGGTCATATACAAAGTGAGCGCATTCCCAGGTTCTTACCAAATAAATTATATCAGTCAGAACACATTGTCAGTGAAAACCCTGCTGAAAGGAATTGGGAAAATAACATTCAGATTATTTAAAATAGCACCAAGATCTTCAGTCAAGGGCATAATACTTTCTCTGATGTGCAGACTTTGTTTCTTCCAAGCCATCAAGAAAGTGGTTGGTTCTAGCTAGCAGAAATTCAAGGGGTTCATCATCTGCTGCATGTGTAGCACTGCAGTTCTGGGTTTTCATTTGTGTTTGGGGCTTCTTTTTGTTTTGTGGTGTTTTGTTTTGGTGGTGGTGTTGGTTTGTTTGGTTCTTTTGGTTGGGGTTTTGGGTTGTTTGTTTTTTTTCTTTTGGCCTCTCCCTTGGAAGTTGTTTTCTTATTTCAGTATTTGTTCTGCAGCTTTGTAACTGGGTTGGGTGCTGTAACTGAGGGTGGTGTCTGTTCCCTTTCTCCTCTGCTGCTCAGAGAACTGAAGTGGGTAGCAGAGTACTGCAGAACATGCAGTATATTTGGGTTATTCTGCTCAGTAAACACTATACCTGAAATCTTCAGTTAAGATTCCAAGCTGTTAAATACCACCTCAGCAACTGCTAGTTACCGCCGTTGCTGAACTGTTCAATCCATTATTTCAGTTTTTGAGTATATTATATTTCTGATTATGTATAAACATCTTCTGTTTTTATCATGTTTCTGTACCAAAATAGCAACCAGATTATTGAAATGAGTGTGATTTAAAAAAAAAAAAAAGGCATTCTTCAGAGGCAGACAAATATTTGTGATCAGTGGATGGGTGAAACGTTTCTTGTTTTTCTTCCTGGAACAGTTTGACAAGAAGCATATGATGACACGCAGGCTGCTTTCTCGTGTGCCTAACACATTGTAGATTTTCTTTTCTGCCCTCATGGAAATACAAATAGTTTCATCATAAAATTAGTAACACAGCAACTTACATTAGCTTCCCACAGCAATATTGAATTACCTTTTCTTGATATTTACAGCTGCTGTCATGGATCTGACCACTTTCTCACCATGGTGGGAAATCAGCTCACTGGTTGGGTTTGATATAATTTTTATGTTTAAGAAGTCAGAAATACATTTATTTGTTAGATTGTTTTATTTTAGTATTTTAAGTCTATTGGGGTTATGCTGTGTTAGTGAACTCCTAATGACTTTACAGAAGTAAAGCCTAAAACTATACTATTTTTTTTTTTCCCCACATTGTACCCGTTACATTTGATGCATGCATCAAAGCACAGTAGTTAGCTATTAGCAGAAACACTATCTATAGGATAAGTAAAATGTGGGGTTTTCCCTTATTAGTCTGCTGCATTGCTATGCATAGTCATATGAACATTTGTCTTGTGGTAAACCACATCACTTTTAAAGTAGTACGTGAAGCCAGAAAGTGACCTAAGTCCTTAAAACTGAAGTAACGTTAGTCTTGTAACACAGCTGAATCATGACAGGGGTTTACATTTTTTACTATAGCACTTTAATGTGGAACTCAAGACAGGGATTTTTTTTTTTTAATACTTTAAGTTCATGTTGACAGAACCCTTCTGTCACAACTGAGAATAGAAGTTTTGCAGTTTCTCTCAGTGCAATTTCTTAAGACTGTAAACTAGCTTCAGTGCCTCTTAAAGGAGGTAGCCTGGTCTGCGATGGTACTTTCTCTAGAAATGGTTTTCGTTTTTAATGGGAAGGATTTTGTCAAAGATGTCAAAGGCTTAAAAAGAGTGGTTTGGTCTTAATAGTGTTTTCCTTTTCATTGAAACACCCACCCTGTTATGATCGAGTTCTGGCATCACTTATAACACTGATTCCTGTAAATTTGGTAGTCTCTTTAGAATGCTGCTACTATAACTATGCTTTTATCTTCTCTCAGTTTTAGTTAACTCCTTTGTCACTACAGTTCCTAACTCTCAGTGCTCTGTCACAGACAAAATGTGTTTGCTTTTACAATTAATGTGTAGAAGTATATTCTCTGTTTGTTAATGTTTACCGCTTGTCACTATCCAAGGATGTGCTATAACCAAGATGAATGCTGTGTAAATAGGCAAACCGGACATCTCCATCTTTTGGCATCATGCCTTTCTTTACTCTCCTGTATAGAGGGTAATGAGACTGAGAATTCTCTCATTCTTAACTGAGAATGTTCAAGATCAGATTTTTTTTGAAATTTAGGTACCCAGCTTGCATTTGAAAATGGGAAAGTTAGGTAACTGAAAAATGTTTTTAAACCATAAAATTTATGCTTTTTTTTTTCTTCTTAATTATAAGGCACTGTGTTCACATGAGGGATAAGAAAACAGTGTTGAAAATCTTATTATCTAATCCAGAGGAAGTAGGTTTCTTAGTATTTTCCCATCAACTGTCTTTTTAACATCTTTTGGGTTTAAGAGGTGTAATCTCTTCTTTGAGTTTTGCTTCTCTGTTTGCCAGGCAGCCATTTCATCTCCACTCTATAGCGGAGCAGAATCCAGCATGAAGTTCTTTGATTTCTCCATTTCTTTCTGACAGTTGTGTTGCTACATAGCTGAAGGGAAGTCCCTTTGTGTTGCATTCTGCTTTTAAGTTTTGTGTTGAAAAGCACTTGAGTTTGTAGTGCCCAGTATGAAAGAGCTGTTTGAGAGGACGGTAGCTATGGCAGAATCCTTTATACAATAAGTTAATGCAAATAGAACATCTTAGGATTTGTGAAATAGCATTTACTAACTATGATCTACTTCTGAAATATGTCCTTAAAATAGTTTTTCCTTGGTATTTTTTTTTTAGCGTACATAAAAGGTGGGTGGATACTCCGAAAAGCCTGGAAAATTTACAATAAGTGCTACACGGACATTAATACGCTTCAGGAAATATATCAGAAGAAAACAACTCAGGAATCCTTGACTTCTGATGCTGCAAATGATAATCATATTGCTGCAGAAGGTGTAACGGAGGATTCGCTAAACAGACTGAAAGGTGCTGTTAGCTTTGGATATGGACTTTTTCATCTTTGCATATCCATGGTGCCCCCAAACCTGCTCAAAATCATCAACCTGCTGGGTTTTCCTGGAGACCGCCTACAGGGGCTTTCTTCACTGATGTATGCAAGTGAAAGTAAGGACATGAAGGCCCCTTTAGCTACGTGAGTAGCTATATTGAAATGCTTTGGTAGATAACTTAGTACTAGAAGTAAGTAACTGGAAAAAAGTCAAAAGCAAAAAGTCATGTTGCTTTAACGGAAACAACAGCAGGTAAAATAAACTTGTTTGTTGTTTAACATGCCATGGTTTAGTAAATTTGTCACTTATAGTAGTGTGTAAGATCTCTCTGCTGTTAGTTATTTACGAATATTTGGGGTTTTTCAGTATTTTGCTGTATTCTTCAGTACCTGCTGTTCTAATGTCTAGTAATTTACATGCCAGCAGAGTAAATGAAAGCACTCCCTGAAGGCTGAGTAAATTTATCTGAGTTATATTCTCCACTGTGGAGAGTATACTATCTTGTATGAGTCACTGAGCTCACTTAGCTATTTATTGTTACTATTAGCCAAAGATCTTTTCCAGTTTATTTTTAATTTTTGCATCTGGGTAAAATGGGATGTTCCTTATAGTATTTTTAGAGCAGTATTCTTTTGTGTACTCTTTTTTTTTTTTTTTTTTTTTCCTTTCCCCCCCCCCCCCCCCCCAAGCATTCATACTGCATTCAGGTCTTTTTATGAGGTGAAGGGTTAGCTGGACCTAATTTAAACTACCCTCATCAATGGGTTTATTATTCCATTATCTTGGAATTAATGCTTTTATTACTGGACCTGCTACAGGTACCATCAGGTGTCGCTTTTGAAACATTGACAGCACAGCTCATGCCTCTTTGAGGAGAAGAATTGGATTTCTGATTGGTTAAGAAGGCTTAAGATTAAATGCTCCTGTTGATTTGTTCTTTCTCCTTTATGGGAAAGAAAAATCATATTTTTCAGGGTATTTCCTCCTTCAGATGGTCTTGGAAATCTTTGTGCTCTGCCCCTGTTTTCAGGAGCAGTGTAGGTCATGTAGACATCTGCTCTTCTGAACAATAGATGTATTTCTTTTTGACATTGATTTCAAGTGCGTCTGCTGATGTATGTTTAGCTTTGTTGGTTTTGTTGTTTTTGGGGTTTTTTTCCCTGTAATGAAGAACTCATCTTCAAAGTTTTCCTGTGGGTTTTTCTTTTTTAAAATCTAGAGTTCCAAAGGCTCAACTGCTTTGATGGTATGAACTTGATTGTTACTTTACCTTTGAACAATGTGCATTGAATTGTATGTTCAGGTGCAGTTCAGAAGTACATTGATGTATGGCAATGGTACTGTGTTTGTTCTAAAGCCATGTTGTATAGGAAAAGATTCATATTTATCTTTCTTTCAGGATCATTCAAAAATTTAAATTGTAGAATATTCTCCTGTGTAGAATGTTACCCTTAAATTTCTGTTTATGAGCTGTAATCCTTTTTTACCCTTATGTTTCTTTTAGATTAGCTCTGTTGTGGTACCACACAGTTGTTCGTCCCTTTTTTGCCCTTGATGGCAGCGATAACAAGGCAGGATTGAAAGAGGCAAAAGAGATTCTTGCAAAAAAAGAATCTGCTTATCCGAATTCTTCTCTGTTCATGTTCTTCAAGGGAAGGATACAGCGATTAGAGGTATTGCATTTGTCTTCTTTTTACTGATTTCTCTTCCCCACCCTTTGTTATTTTGAGCTTTTCTGATGTGAATGAACTGCACGAGCTTCAGCAAATTGTGACTGAAGAAACAGATAACATGGAAAGATAAATAAGAAGAAAGGAGTAACTCTTTCCCAGTTTCAAGTTCACATGCCAGACCTGCTCTTCCACTACTTTTGTCTGAATTAATGACACTTCGAAATTCTTTTTCAGCTGCTTAATACTTTTGGAAAGTATAAAGGAGGCAAAAAGGAACTGTTCTTGGTCACTCACGAGTTTCTTGTAGTATAAATAGCTCTGTCAGTTTTGCTTGTCAAGCTGAAATCTGAGTATTTATCTGCTGAGTACACAGCATTTCTCTCCCCGTTTCATTTTTATGCATTGTTCATATACAGATAATTCCCTGCCGTAATTGCCCTCAGATAACTGCTTTTGCTTTTAAGAGGTCGACCCAGGATGTTTTCTGTTGCGAAAGTTGAGCTCTGACCCAAGCAGAAATGTATTCACGGACAATGTGTTTGTGAATGCTGTTGCAGAGTGTTATTCAGACATTGCAGTAGCATCCTGGGTTTTGGCTGAGTTATTCTTTAAGAATCTGTGATAATACAAGATGGTGGTGAGTACTTTAAAATAGGCAACTCTTAGCTGCTGCTTTTATCAGACTAGGGTATTTCCAGAGCAGTCACACTAACAAGAAAAGCCAACACAAGAGCACAAACCCAGAATGTTCAGATCCTTCATCTCAGTGTCGTAATTACAAGAGCCAATCCAGTTCTAATGTTGGTGGTCATTCTTTGCTCAGGTTTGCAGTTTACTCTCAAATATAGCTTAATATTTTGAGGGAGGTAGCAACAGTAACAGAACAGAGGGGCAGGCTTCAGAGGCCTATCAGATTTTGCAGGCATATTCTTGCATTGGATTTGGTTGGTAGTTTGTTTGGGGTTTGGGTTGTGGGTTTTTGTTTTGTTTTGTTTGTTTTTTTTTTTAGCTGTCTTCTGAAAGCAACAGTGCATTTGGGGAATTACACTGTCACGGACAAGCTGTCAGTCTTTGGAAGTATGGCTGTTTTCCAAGTGGGAAAGACATTAATGGTCTTTGTTCAATTATATGATTATTCCATTCTAGTGGTAAAAGTCAAATATGTTAGGACTAGCTACACAATGAATGCAAGTACAGTTACAAAGACAAATATGTTGATTGCCAGAATATGACTTGGTATTTACAGCCCTCCACACTCCCTTCAATTTCATGTTTAGGGTAATGAATAAAATACAACTGATTCTTCTGACTTTCAGGGCAAGCAGGGCAAAATTTTAAACATAAGTTGTAAGTAAGCTGAGTACATGTTTTTGTGTGTAAATACAGAGGATAGGTTTGGGGTGGGTGTCAGTTTTGTGTAGTCAGTCTCTTTCTGGAGCATGGCTATGTTTCAGAGGAGAGGGGTTTTTTTACATGTTATCTTAACGTATTTGTGCATTAAATGATGCAGTGTATAGATACTGAAGTTTATATCCAAGTGAAAGTTTGTGCCAGAGACAGCCTGGCCAAGTTAACGAAATCAGTTAGCTTAGGCAGGCAGAATGCTGTGCGTTGTGCTATGTAGCCATACCCTTAGTCAGCAGAAAGCTTAGTGGTTGCTAACAGGAATTAAAATGCCCCTTTGCTATTCATGTGTTTGTTTGCATGAGACCTTTTCCATTCAGCAGCCTCTTCCCCCTGGCCCTCCCCGTCCCACATGGCTTTGTTGTAAGTGGTACGGTATCACTCAGGCTTTGCTGTGTCTAAATGTTTTGGTTAAATGTCTTGGGCTCTTCTGTTGACTCCAGGAATTTACAAGCTTGATGCACTTATGGTTACATGTGTCTCACATTCACACATTCTGAGCCAGAAGTGCACATAAATTCTTAGATAACAAACTGATATGCTGAGTTGTAATGTCCACATCATTTCCAAGAGAGGTGAAGAGAGCTTGTGCAAAGCTTGGGAAGTGCTTTTATGGCCTTCCTTGAAATTATTAATACACAGATGGGTTTAAATATTTCCCAGCTGGCACAGAAATGCTATTTTCAGATGGTTTACTGAAATTGGGAAGTCTGTGCTTTAACCTAAAAGTATACCTTGAGATGAAGCTTACTTATTTTATGGTCTTCAACATGTATTATCTTTTAACGGTTCTGTGATAAAATTTAATTAGATGTTGTTATACAAAAGAGCTTGTGTGTTCTGAAAGTACAGATGAGTAGTGGTCATCATAGGCTTTCTATTACAGCCTCCTAGCATTCAGTCCATTGGATCTTTTTTTTTATAGCCTTCAATCCTGCGTTTCAGCTGATGGTATGTATATTCAGCTTCTACTAGCAAGTCTGCATACACCTATAGATCTGTATGCGTGCATTTTTTACTTTTCTAGGGAGGAAAATAAACAGGAAGGAGTGTAGTGCAGCCATGGACAGGACACCTGGAGGCAGGGAAACTTGAAAAAGCAGAGCAGTAATGAAAGACTGGACAGCGAGACACAGATCTGACAAAGGAGATAATTGCCAAGGGAGGCAGTCGAGGAGAAAGGAAGATTTCACAGTGACAGTGCTATGAAAGACAAATGAAGAGTATGTGACTCTATAGTGCTCTGTGCACCAAGAAGCATGTATGAATATTAGTCAATAAAAGCCTTAACAGACGTTGGTTTTCTAAAGAAGTAGCCTTACAGGTACTATAAACATGGACCAAATTATCTTTCAACTTTTTTCCCAGATTCACATTTTTGAGAAATGAATCTGAAAGCCTTTGGAGACTGTTGAAATGAATGAGTTGAGGGAAAGGAGAGGAGGAGGATCTGGGAAAAAGCTGGAATGAAAGTGCACCGGAAAGTTAAAGGTTGCACTGGTAGACTGATCACATGTCTCTCTTATTCAAAGAGTAAGTTAAGAGACTGCATATTAAAAGTAGTATTTTTCCTGACTTTTACACTTAGGCTGTTTTTATGGACATACTCATGTGCTTGACTTATGATGGTATACTGTGTATTCCAGCCTCAAGTATTTCTCTTTGAAGTATTTTCTGCTGAAGCTGATAATGATGTTTCATGTAAGCTTAAGCCATTAAAACCAAGTGAGAATAATGTTTTGTACTTGTGCCTAAAGGGTACTTAAAATGTAATTAGTACAATAGCTGCTGAAACCCACTGTTCTGAAATTCAGAGTTTCTGGCTGTAGCCTTGGGCCTTTCTAATTACTGTGAAAATAAAATATTGCCATCCATTTTCTAAATGTGTATTGTCTAGTATTATAATTATGTTAATAAATACCAATTTACTTGTGATTTAGACTATTCGAGTGTGATATTGTGTCCAGTAGTGAAATATGGGCATATAGTGGGAGGAGTTAAAGGTGGTGTTCTGAATCTTACTTATTTCTACCGCATAATTAAAAAAAAAATCTTCATCAAATTTTTTTGAATAATACAAATCACCCCACTCGGACATAGTTAAATAGATTGATGGCTTCATCTGGAGAGTGGTAAGGGTATAAAGCAAAAATAGTGTTTGGCAAAATCATGAACTGGGCAAGGTTTTCTTTGATTGGGAACAGATTCCAGATGTGTGTATGTAAACGACAACAAATCTTTGGGGCTGGGGCAGAAAATTTAGCTTCTGAGGCTTGGTCTATAGAGTTCAGTTGGTATAACTGTATTTTAAGAGTCTGAAGGGAAAAGTACCAAGTACTCCAGCTGACGGGCAAAACACCAGTACATTTGGGCGTACACTGTTTGATGTGGAGGGTGGTGTTGCAGGCTTAAATGTAATGCTGACAAGCACTCCTGTGTTTCACTGCCTTTCGTAGGCATCTTGGTATCAGTGATATTATTCTTATTTAGGGGTGGGAAGATGTGGCACAGAAAAGTAGTCTGAGGGCAAGAGTAATAACAAGCATTAAAGAGTCTTAAATGAGTTTTCTGCAATAAAGTCACAGTGATGTGTTAAGTAAAGAAATTTCAGAGCTTGTGTAATGAATGTCAGAGTTTATTTTCAGCAATTGTGTGGGCTCCTCTGGTTGTTTGTTCTAGGCTATAAAGTACAGAATCCTAGTTTTACTCTATTTTGATTTTCTGTTGTGTCTTAAGGATAAAATGGTGAGGGGGTGTCTGGGGCATGTGCGTGTTAGGGAATAGACTATAGAGACTGAAATTTCCATAGTATCCTCCAATGCACATTGTCCTCTTTTAGATATAGTTTGCTGGTTTCCCCTTAAAAATGAGCATGACTTCTTAAAAGCCTTAAAAATTCATAGTGCTGATCAAGAATAGAGAGAACCTGGGAGAGGGAAAGCATCCTGAGATTTCAGAACAACTCTGTGGGGAAACATGTGTTGGCTCAGGAAGCTGCCTTGCTCAGTAAACTCTGTAGATGCTTAGTTTTGGTTTTAATTTGAAGTCATGAAATGTTCTAATAATCCTTTTTATGGTTATGTAGTTCTGTATATTACACATTTTGCCAATTGTGTTTCTGTCTTTTATTATGTCTAAGAGAGGCATAGGTGATGCCTGTTGAAGGAATTACAAATGTGCCTGTGCGTATGTATGTGTGTGTGTGTGCGTATATATATATATGTTTAAATCTCACGAATATGAATTTCAAGTGTCAGCCATGATGTTATACACATGGACTCTTGGGACTTTATAATTCTGCTTATTCTCTGAAACATTATACTGGTGGTAATTCATTTTAAGAATTAACACTAGGAGTGGAAACTCATATTCTAGCATGTTGCAGTCCCTGGAGATGATTAAAACTTTAATTATTAAGGAATATCTCTGAAACGTACTTACTGAGCAACACAATTACTGAGCTTGATGCTTAAGGAAAACTTAAGCAGACGTCAAAACACTTGAGTGATGTAGTCAGAGAAATAAATTACAGAAGATTGAACTAACCAGACTTGCATAATACTAGACGGTCAGTATTTCATACGCTGCCCCAGGCTGGTGTATGGCATTACAGACAGTGATGTAACTGCCATTAGTCATTGTGTGGAATAACATGCCCAACAAATAAGTGAAACGCAGTTTTAAGTTTTTTAGAGGGCAGAGTATCTTCACAGAGGACTGAATATTTAGATTTTTTTTTTTTTCTCTCCCCTCAGAAGCATTCAAAACAGGTTTACTGAACTGTTTTGTTTTACCTGTAAGTCGGGGCTTGTAACACATTCCAGGTAGTCATGTTGCATGTTGTAGCATCAGTGGGGTAATATGTAGTGGAGAAAATGCGCTGCTACAAAAGTAAACAAGGTGTTCATTGCTCAGGCTCCCTAGTTATCTTGGGGGCAAATACAACTTGCCTGTCTTTTTGTATAGTCTATTCTTCTGCCATGCCAACAAGCATCTTAAGTCTAATCACTATTTTATTTCCTAAGTGTACAATGTTTATATTGTGGTACAGCTGTGGATCCCTTTGCTGGCAGTTCTGCTTTCTTGATGCAATATATATGATTTATGGTTAAATTGTTTCTTAGCAACTAAACCAGTTTTCCCTGATGAGACAAATAACAAAATCTGATAAACTCTCTAGAGCTCTGTATGTGTGTGGTCTTAAGATACACTGCTGCAGATTTTTGCAGGAATTACTGAATTCAGTTATGCTTGTGTATGATGACAGGTTTACTTTTTCAAGGGTTTCTTTCACCTACATGCTTAGCCAGCTGTGTGGCGTAAAGATTTTTCTGTCATATAAATTAAATTATTATAATTGTATGTGAGAATAAATACAGGAACACTGTTAAAGCAGGATAAATAGTGTGTCTATGGATGAACCTAATAAAACTCCCTTTATGGTGATTGTTACGGTGAAGTCCCATCCTAGACTGGGAAAACCAGTAAATGCTAAAAATATGACTTTTAAAGGCGGAATGACTTATAAGTGTAGAAATGAAACTACTCAAAAGCTTACTGTACAAAACCAATTTCAAACATAATAGCAAATAGAACGAATACAGATGCTGATTTTTAAGGTTGATAGATGATCATGAAATTGTAAATTTGATCTGCAAATTATTGGTGATCTTTATTACAGTATTAAACTTTTCTACTGTCCCCCTCCCAGCTTTTTTAAATTCTGTAGTGTTCTGCGCTTCTCATGTGACTTTCAGAGTACAAGTTCCATACCGTATGTCTTAAATTTTTACTGCTGCACATGGTGGAACTCATTATTAGAACCTTGCAAGCACACACTTTGCATTCTTATCTGAAGTTTCATTTAAATATAAAGCTGAGTTGCTTTGTATTAGTAGTTCTTACTTCCCATCTCTTATAATTTGTCTTTTGTATTACGTTTCATATCATGAATACGAAATATATGGAAAAATCTGCTCACTATGGGACCTCTTTAAGAGGCTTATTTATTATTGTAAATAAAGACTGTCATAATTTGCCCAGATATCCATTCAACAGTGATCAGGTTGAGAGAGCTGGGAGAAGGGAATTTTGCTAAAGGAATTGCAATGTGGAGCTGGTATATTGAATTAATATAGGCTGTTTTCCAAACTATTAGCTTTATGGTGGGTTTTAGCTTATTTAAAATAATGTGGAGTCTGAAGTTAATTTGGAGGTTTTCCTTTCAATGGGATGTTGTGACTTCCTGATCAAATCAGTGTCTGCAGTCTGAGACACTTCAATATTAATATTGCTAACTATAGTTATTTTAAAATACCTATTAATAGAAATCTGAATGTTTTATCAAAATCAAAATTTCCAACAAATTTTAAATTTCAGACATCTGATTTTTTTTTTTTTTTCTTTATTTCACTTTTGTTAGTGTCAGATCAATAGTGCCTTGGCCTCATTTCATACCGCTTTGGAACTTGCAACAGACCAAAGGGAGATTCAACATGTCTGCTTATATGAAATAGGTAAGTTGGATATGATTACACTCACTTTCAAGTCTACACTAGCAACTTCAATAAAAAAATTGGATTATTTTTATTAGGATTTTTAAAAAAGGCTTTAGAATACCATCTTTTGTCTTGGATGGACTGTGGTAATGATTCTGTCTTGTTTAGGCAAGTAGAATTCAACAAGTAGAATCAAGGGCAAACTGTTCATCTCCAGAATATTATTTAAAAGGAGAAATTAGTTAATCTGATTTGTCTGTAGAATCGCCATTTCTGTGCCAAAACCAAATCAGCCTAGTGAAGCTTCACAGCTTTCAGGACCTATATTTCATGTTCATTTTCTTCTATCAATAGCAATATGTGCTCAATTTGCATACAAGTCTTTAAAGTGATGAAGATAATGTTGCTTCAAGCTTTAAATGTGTCTTGTTAAGAGATCTTGTCACAGTGGGGAGGAACAAGGGAGCTAGTGGTAGCTTTGTAAGTTTCAGCATCCTACAAAATATGGTGTTTAAATTAAAAGGAGAGCTTTTGGTGTCTGTATAGATTATTTGTTGCTCTGAATTGGATTCATTGCTTTATATGGAATCTTATAATTCAACATTTCCCAGTAAATTCAAACCAGGCTTTAAGTGTGTTTCATTGGTTTGTTTTGGGTTTAACTTCTCCTGTTACTGTTATAAATGTTGAACTAGCTCCAGCTCTCATAGCAGGCTGTGTGTTCAGTAACACTGACTCTAAATATGAATTACTGTGTGTTCTCTGAAGTTAAATTAGTCTTGCTTTTAGGTTGGTGCAGCATGATAGAGATGAATTTCAAAGATGCATTTGAATCCTTTGAAAGGCTTAAAAATGAATCCAGGTGGTCCCAGTGCTACTATGCTTATTTAACAGCAGGTGAGTATAATTGATGTGTTGGGTAAGTGATAAATCAGTGATGCAATAAGGTTTTGGCACGTTTGTTTTGGGTATTTACTAGTGCACGTAGTGTCTTCAACCCTACCTGCTGCTTATGCACCTTTATGGCAGACTTACTTAATTTTGGGGGTTTTATAGAATGTAAACTTGCATGTACATGCATGTGCATACCTTTCCCCCCCAGTGTTGATAGTTACGATTGTCAATGTAGTGACAGGTCACATAACTGTATTGCAAAGATTTATAAATAAATCCTTAGAGATTGGGTGGTGTTAGTTCTTTTAATGGATACAAGAAAAGAGTACTGACTTCTTAATGATTACGGGGGGTGCTTGGGAGAGGTGGGGTTTGCATGTTTGTCAAATCTCAGGTTTGGATCCTTTTTGGATGTGAGAGTGTGTTTTCCTGTGACTGTATAATATCTAATCTTCATGTTTCCTGTTTCATATCCCAGTAGCGTTAACACATTTTTGTTTGTGCTCTTTAGTATGTCAAGGAGCCACTGGTGATGTCAATGGTGCTCAGAATGTGTTTAAGGAAGTTCAGAAGCTTTTCAAAAGGAAAAACAATCAGATTGAACAATTTTCAGTGAAAAAGGTTTGGTTTAGCATAAGCTAACTTGTTTCAGTACCGTAATTACACTTGATAATTTTATTGGATTCTTTACCAGTATTTATTTTTGAAGGATGTATCTGTTTTTTGCTGTGTTGGACCTGTGGAAAAATAAATGTCATGTATTTTAAGGACCCAGCAAAGGAAATGTGAATTAGCTATTTGCTTTGCAACTAAAGTAATTATTAAAGATAAAAATACATTTTCCTTCTATCTTTGCCTTTCTTACTCCTTTTTATCTTGTCTTGTTTGTCAAAGCCTTAGTTCTTTTTGAAAGCTAGAAGAAATACCTCCCAACTGATGCTCTTGCAGATGTTACTGTTTCAGCATCCAGTCAGTGTGTACTTGGAACTGTGAAATACAATAAAACAAATCAGGCTGCATACAAGGAGGCTTTAATTTTGGTCAATATGTAAGCCCTTAAATTAATTGAAAGATTTTGCTTTTTCAGACTTAAAGATAAGTTGCCACTGACTGTATTTTAATAAAATTGTTGGATGCTTTGATGAAACAGAATTACTGTTTGTGATACATTGTTTGTGAATATTATGTTCCCTATAAAAGGATAAATGACAGATCTCTTTTCCCTCCTTCTCCCCACTTTACAGGCAGATAGATTTAGAAAGCAAATGCCAACCAAAGAACTCTGTGTCTTGGCATCTATTGAAGTATTGTACTTATGGAAAGCCCTTCCAAACTGTTCCCTCTCGAACCTACAGCACATGAGCCAAGGTATAATATGGTTTCTTGATTTCTCTATTTTTTTTTTTTAATGAGATGTATCATTTTCTTCTGTTATGTGGAGTAGTTGATTGTTGCAGACTGAAAATTTAAACTTGTGTGCGTGTGCCATAGCAAAACAGTTTGAGGAACAAAAGCGTAACAACTCATTTTAAGATTCAGCTTAGTGCTTCATTTTTACCATTTTTATAGGTTTGGGAGAAGTTTTACTGCCTGCTGCCTATAGTGGTTTTTTAATCAGTTGCATTTGCCCATTGTTTAAAATGAAACAATAGTATCATAGTTATTGTTCAAATAATTATGATTAGAGTTACAGCAAATTTAACTTAGTGTTACTTTAACTTAGTTACTTAGTTACTTTACTTACTTTGACTTAGTTAAGTTTAGTTATAGCAAAATTTAACTTATTTAAACCCAGCTACAAAATAAAACCCCTGCCAGTTCATTTCTGCATGTTGGTTTTCTTATAAGCCAAAATATATAGCTTGTGAGGTCATCCATGACGTAAGGGTTCTGTTCATCTTGGCTGCTGGGACCATCTTAGTGGTGAAAGGAGCATTTTATGGTTGGCTCTTTCTTAGTCTCCAGATGTCTTTGTCTGTCACATGAAGCTTATGACAGCTGTGTTTATCGTGAAGTTTTCCATACTCCACCTTCCGTCCAATGATCTGATTTACATTCTGCAAACATTCTGAAACCTGAGTTTCAGGTTGTTATCTGCTCATTTAGAAAATAAAACAAAAACCTCTACCATCAAGATACTTCCTTTTTTTAGCCTGTAATTATGAAATTTTGGGGATTTCATGTTTAGCTAGAAAACTACCAGTCTTTGAGAGTAAGGGCTAATAATGAGGTTTTGTTCTGGTTTTTATTTAAGATAATTTCTCCATTTAAATTGGATGACAGAGGGTTATATTCAGATCCCTAGTTTTCTAGTCCTGAAGAGAATGGTGAAGGCTTTCAAGTTAGATATAGTGAGTAAATTTGAGGATTTTTGTGTGTCATTTGCCTTCAGAACAATCATCTTTAGAGGCTGTACTTCTCTCCTGCATGCTCAGAAGCAGTGTAAGTCTTCCTTCTCTAAGCTCCTAGCCAGCGGTTCACATTTTAATGTGAAGTAGCAATACAGACTACAGTTCAGAGATACCCTTCTTGTATGACACTGACGGATGTGTCTGCATCAGCGATCCCTGGTTGAAGATTTTCTGCGCAATGAGAGCGTTACTGCTGTGCCATATGTGTACTTAAGAACGGTGAGATGACAGGGGATTTTATTTGTTTTATTTTAATTTGCTTCCTCTTCTCTTGAACAATGGGAGCATAATGTGCAGGGCTATTTCCAGGCTTTTTGTCAGGGCTAGAAGTTGACCTAAAGGAATTAGCTTGTATCCACATGTATCTCTGTAAGTACAATGCCAAGTAACTTCAGACTTGCAAGACAAGCAAGAGTTGACAGCCTTGTGTATTGTGTAATATCCAAATGCTTCATACAGCCAACTCTTACTTGTTCATAGGTAGCTTATTTGGGTTGTGGATTAACTGTGTTGTGAATGCAGAGCTAGTTAAGATCTGGCAGGGTTTATGAGATGAGGCTGAATGTGAAGTTAAAAGAGCTCTACTGCTCCAGGCACAGCAGTTCAGCCCCTCCTGATGGGATGAAGAGCCCTACAGGTCTCCCAGTACCCTGGCCTTTTTATAGGTAACAGTGCAGACAAGCGCAAATGGCTCCTCATGGAACTAGCCTTGATTTAACAGAGCTGGTGCTAATAGGCTTGATCAAAATAGAGCCAAATTAATCTAGAGACTGTTATGTGCCTCATGATTCTGTTCTTCCTGGAAACAGAGGGCTACTCAGCTGAGGCACAGTCTGTCCCTAGATTGTGGACCAGCTAAGTTGTGGCAGATAAGCCTTATCCTTTCATCAACATTGAGAACTGTGATGCCAAACTACTCTAGTCTGGGGGTTTAAGTCCAGTACAGATTTTTGTGTGCCTATCACTTGGCTTTAGTTCAGAACAAATCAGCTTTGCCTGAACTTCTTGCCTTGTGCTCCATATAACTCGTACTGTGTATTTTCCTTCCAATATCTGGGACAAGCCAGTTTCCCGTAACACTAGGAAGAGGTGGTTGTATCTTAACTTTACCTTTTAGTGTGTATTTCAAAGACCAGTAGAGAAATGAGTTCTCTTTTTGTGAGAAGAACACCAACTGCATTTGACAGCAGCCCATTCATTCCTGTTAAGAACTGTACTTGTGAGTGACAGATTGCTTGACGTGGTTCATGCAAAACTGGTTTTATTTAAAATGAACCAAATTACGTTGATTTATATTAAGTTTACTGGCATCTCCTTTTTCTGGTTAATTTTAATCCTCAGACTAGAAGTCACTGTAGACCACAATTCTTGTCTAAGAAAGGATTTAAGTCCTTCTTGTTTGTTTACTGGAATCTTTCCATTAAGCTTGTCAGGATGTTGATGATTCATCAGCTGTTGGTTTAAAGAATTTGCTTCTTGGTGCCATACATAAATGCTTAGGAAATTCTGAAGACGCCGTTCAGGTAAGTTATTAAATGATAATTTCCACCATTAATCCTATTTTATGAGCTGTTCTGTTGAATATTGTTGAGTAAGTGTGTTAGGCAACCCATTAGTTTGCAGTGCTATTGATTGGAACATGGCAGCTAAAGTGGCTTGTTAGGAGCAAGAGCTAAGGGGAAGCTGGGAAGAACAGCGGAAAAGGTCTTGCTCTGCTGGATTTAGTTTATTCAACAAAGAAAATTCAACTTTTTTTTTCCTCCCCTCCCCATAATAAAATGCAATTCACAGAAGCAACAAGGGAGCTGATGCTGGCTCAAAATCTTCTTCCCCCCCACTCCCCTTTTTTTTATTTTCCTTCTTTCAAGCATATTTTAAATAATCTAGGTACTTTAATGTTAAGGATCCTTGTTAGATCTAATATTTTGCAGTATGATGCTGGAGTAGTCTTGAAACAGTCAATATGTTAGAGTTGTTTGTTTGGATTTTACTGCCTTGATGCAGTAACGTTGGTAAATATGTGTGTCCTTGCTGAAAGAATCTCTACCATTGGAAATTTTTAATGTGTTCTCATTTTAACCTTGGGCTAATATCTAGTGCTTAAAGTTGAATGAATGGTGCTTCTGTTTGGATTTTCTTTAGTATCAAGCAGTCAATTTTAATGTATTACTGCAATCTTTGGGTTTTGTTTTTTTTTTTTCTTTAATTTTTATAGTTCTTTCAGCGAGCTGCTAAAGATGAACTGTGCCGTCAGAACAACTTGTATGTCCAGCCATATGCTTGCTATGAACTTGGCTGTCTTCTGTTAGACAATCCAGAGGTAATAACCTATTTATAAACTCCTTAAAATTAGATTGGGGAGTCAACATACCCCTATACAAACTATTAAAGTTTAGAGATGATAATGTATACTAAGTTTTACAAATCTGTTTTATATCTAATGTGAAGAAACTTACTACTTTGGCTTTTTTTGCAAAGCAAGAAATGAAATGCATTTTAGGTAACAACATCTGATTTTTCAATATCGAGAGCTATAAGGACATTCTGAGCAGCTCAGTGTATCTGATGGTAACATTGCAGTGACTTGTTTTGCTCTTACTGGGTTATATTTCCAAATAAATAAAACAAACAGAGCCTGGAAGTTTCTGGGATATTTCAGGGCAGTTGTTACATTCCTGACCATTATTCGTGTCTGTCTTTAACAGCAAAATAAACATATCTGCAAAACTACAGCAAGCAGTAAGGCAAGAATTTTGAGTGTAGAACCACATTGTTTTGATTATTTTAATTAGCACATCAGAAAGCACCACAAAGACTTCAGTTCTCATCTCTTGGATCATGCCATGATGCTCATTTTTTCATACATGCCTTACAGAAACAGTATATATAAATAGTGGTGTATGGAAATACTTTGTCACCCCTCCAGACAGAAAGACCTCTCTCTCCTTTTACTCGCCTTAGTGTTCCTGCTGCTGGTGGCAGCAGAGGTCTGACAATAATGCCTTGGGTATGCAGGGATTTGCTGTTTGCAGGTGGTATATAGTGTGATGAATGCCTAGAATCCTTTTCTTATATATTTAATTTTCTGTGGGATGCTGTTCAGTCTTGAAAGTTTACCTATAGCTATCTTCTCCAAATAGAATTTGATGCCTTCCTAAAATAGCTCCAAGTTTTGGGGATCAAACTTTTTTTTGGAAAAATGTTACGTCAGGAGTCTTTTTATTTAGGGATTATTCATCCCCACTCTTAGAACAAGTATCTTCCTAATCTTGCACATCAGTGCATCTTGGAAACCTAGCTGGACTGAGGGCACGCATACCTTTGTAGCATTTCATTGCAGGGGATGTGGAAGTAAAGGGATTCCAGTAACTTAAATTCTGTTAAAGCTGTTTGACTTGGTGTTTTGTCTTTCACCCTGAATAGTGAAGCTTTTGTTGTTCAGGATCAATGGCAAAATAATCCACCTGGCCTTCAAACTGTCCAGATGGTTTGGCTGATGATACATTTGATTGTTCAAGTCTTTGCACGTACCCTGTCTCCTAGGGAGCCCAGAGAATCTTAAACTAGGGTGACTTCTACACCACTCTTGGTGCTACTTCCTTCCTCAAACACCACTACCTGGAGTTTATGCCACACCACTTTGTGTAGTACTTCCTGAATCGGGTTGCAACTTAGGGGAAGCAGTTACAAGTTAATGACCTGAACCCACCCATTGCTTTATGTGTAGTGCATGAGGTAGCTGGGCTGATAGTGTCTTGTGTTCTTAAGATTCTGGTTTCAGCTGTGATTAATCTTGTAAGATTTGGTCATCTGAGGAGGGAAGGAAAAGAAAGTTTTTCAATAGAAGTGATTATTGTGACAAAAGAAGCAAATGCTTTTAAAAATATATTTTCTTTCCTGAAAGTGCTGCTGCCCTATGGACTTAAAACGGGGCCTTGAAGCCTGGTAGGGAGCTCTGAGTGCAGTAATGTTTGGTGTTCGTATTTAAATTTGATCAAGTGTCTCAAGACTGTGTGGTGGGTTATCTGAAGGTTTTGAGAATGTAGAAGCCGTCCTTCCTTCCTTCCTTCCTTCCTGCTTCACACATAGTACTGCACACAGTAACCAAAAGTGGTTCATGCTGTTGAGGACTGAACAAGCCTCGGCTTGTAGCTGTACTGAGAAGCTACGGTAGAGCTTAGTATATGAAGTACGTGCAGGAAACTCCCTCTTGTGGCGCTCGGGTAATGAGGAGGTAAATGATGCTTGACTTGAATAAAGTGGGATGGGGTGGGGAAAAGCAAGAGCTAGAATTAGAGGCGACTGGATGCTGTTTATAGAAAATTCCATTTATTAGCTGAGGTGTCATGTGAGAGCTCTATAATGGATGAGAAACAGAAGGGAATAGGATTTTATAAAACACATTTACCTGAGAGGCTGAGTGTATTAAAGACGTGAACAACATGCATAGATACGAACATGCATATCTATAGTATAAAAGGTATAAAGTATTTTTAGTATAAAAAGCATGCTGTTAAATTTACTTAACTTTAAAATTATTGTAATTACATGATTCAGATAATGTGGTAAATCAAACATCTTTGTTATTTTAAACTTAATTCTAGTAAGTTCTGGAAGATTCTTAATATGGTTATGTCAGCAAGTTTACAGATTATTTTTTTCCTTGTAAATGTCTTATATTGGTTAAATTCAGTGTCTAAAATATGTTTATACTCAGATATATTTGAATAAGAACATTTTTTTTTTGTCTCTTAACAGACAGCTAATTATTTATTTCTAAGGCTTAGAGTAAACGTTTATCGTATGAGAAGAAATAAAACATTGAGCTTTTTCAGCAGTAACTATTAATCTGAAAATACTGTATTTTTCCTTAAGAGCTTGAAATTGAGATTTCTGAAGCACTTTTAATGCTCAAAATCTGGTAGCTTGTTTTGTAAATAAATGGCTTAAAATTTGGTTAAGAAACAAAAACTACTCTATTGATCAGTTAGTCATTTACCTGTAGTCTTGTTTGTTTCCCTGTGCATTGTTGTAGCTCACCATCACCAGTAGCAACTTGTATTTAAAGCTGTAATCTTCTCATTTTCTGTAGAAGACTAAAAACATGTAATACTGCATTTCTTGGGTGCTTCAGTAGTGTTTCTGGTTTCCTAATTTGAGGATTGAGAGGGTTTTATTTGCTCAATACCTTGTTTTCAAGATAGAAATACTGTCCCAGACTGACCAGGCCTTATGCTTAAGTTATATTCTGTAATATTTGGAGTGCATTTCTAATGTAATGTTTGTCTTTTTGTAGACTGTGCCAAGAGGCAAGACTTTACTTCTCCAAGCCAAGGTAAAAACTATGACACTTTCAAATGTTTCTTTCCGAGATGAGGGTTTTTGGGAGTTTGGGGTAGGGTGTATGTGGATGTTGTGTGTTGGTGTCCCTTATCTATAATCTACAACACAACACTATCATGTAGGTATACATTAATGTATAAAATATATATTTATGTATGCTATGTAGACATGTGTTTCTAGGTCAGTCATAGCACATGAGGGCACTCCAGGAGAGTCCACATTAGTGACCTCTCCTGGAGTGTTAGAACCTTGCCAAGTATTTCAACTAAGATTTGGCTACAGAAAGTTTGAAAATGACAACTCTCCACTCCTTACCTATTCCAACTGGTTCCTGCCTTGGGCACGTTGGGATTTGCTAGAGGTTTTGGACTTGCAGAACTTTCTGGGTGCTGTTCAACTACCTGGGATCCAGGCAGCATGTTGGAAATGGAAGCTTTCTGCTCTCTTCACCAACTTGGAATTTCTGTAATAATTCTGTTGCTTTCAGTAATTGCAACACACAGAATCTGGTTCACCTCTTTTCTTCAGTCTCTTTTGTAACATGACTTCTTAAGCATTAGTAGTAAAATTATCTTCATGTCTTACAGTGAAGGAGGCTAATAGTTACATGCTTTTCTTTTTTTTCCACCCCCCAGGAGGAATTTACAGGCTATGACTTTGAGAACAGATTGCACGTCCGCATACACGCAGCCTTAGCCTCTCTAAGGGAAGTAGTTCCACAGTGACGGACAGGAAGTCTTGTTATCCTTTCCCACAGTTTCTGCACTTTAAGATGAAGCAGAAGAAAAAGCTGTTGGGAAGACCAGCTTTTCTTCTGAAAACCACTTGTGCCAGAGACACTTTCCTAGTACGGTCAGGGTTGGTATGGCTTAGTAAACCATTATGATTTTAACTAAAAGTAAATCAACCAGGAAGAAGGTTAAGTGACCTTGTGTTTTTAACTCTTCAATTTTTATTTTGTTTAAACCAAGCTGAAGTCAATTGCTTGTAACATTGTGGGAAAGCCTAAATAAGCACACATGATTTATTTCAACAATATTGCCAGGTGTGATTTCTACCTTTTAAAATAGATCTAGATCTGAAATGAAAGAGGAGCACTTCTGGTTTAATTAAAATAATACAATAAAAGTAATCGGTATAAATGTTGAAGTTGGGAATGGTCAGAACACTTTTTTTTTTTTTCCCCTCAAGTGTTAGCCAGTATACAGAAAGACAAAAGCTGCTGAGCCACAAAAAGCAGATCTTACTAAATTTTAGTGGCTTACGTCAGTGACTAATCCGTGAATTTTAAACTTCACGTCTCCTTCCATTCTTCATTTCTCCCTCCCAATCCAGCTCAGAATTGTGATACAAATAATGCCAATATTTAGGATCTCTGCTTCTGGTACATTCTAGCCAAATACTTAAATTGTTTGACATGCAATTATGGGATGGGCTGTTCTTATTTCTGCTCTTAATATTTTGAATATTACATTAAATATATGGGACAGAGTAGTTTTACATATTTTTCATTCAAGCTGCTGAATCTTTATAGCAGTGATCTCTTAAAGGTATAAAAAAACCCCAAACAAAACACAAACCCAAAAATTTACTTTGATAATTACACCAATACCATGATATCATAGAATGGTTTGGGTTGGAAAGGACCTTAAGATCATCTAGTTCCAACCCCCCTGCCATGAGCAGGGACACCTCGCACTAAACTATGTCACCCAAGGCTCTGTCCAACCTGGCCTTGAACCCCTCCAGGGAGCATTCACAACTTCCTTGGGCAGCCCATTCCAGTGCCTCACCACCCTCACTGTAAAGAACTTCTTATATCTAATCCAAACTTCCCCTGTAAAAGCTTGAACCCGTTGCCCCTTGTCCTGTCCCTGCAGTCCCTAATGAAGAGTCCCTCCCCAGCATCCTTGTAGGCCCCCTTCAGATACTGGAAGGCTGCTATGAGGTCCCCACGCAGCCTTCTCTTCTCCAGGCTGAACAGCCCCAACTTCCTCAGCCTGTCTTCATACAGGAGGTGCTCCAGCCCTCTTATCATCCTCGTGGCCCTCCTCTGGACGTGCTCCAGCAGCTCCATGTCCTTCTTAAGTTGAGGACACCAGAACTGTGCACAATACTCCAAATGAGGTCTCACGAGAAAGTACTAGGTCTCTGTATGGTAGACCTGTGGCGTTCCAAACCTGTGGCGTTAAGATACTGAAATACCTCAGAGAGCTTGGATCTTTTATCATGACCATATAATTTTTAATTCTTGGCCATCTGCGTGCCCGTTTGTAGCTTTTTTCTTTTTGCCTTTGTCCGTAATATGTAGCATCTCCTTATGTTTTATATTCAGTTAATATTATATTCTAGGAAGGTAAATATTTTTTTAAAGAAGCTTATGAATGGAAATCTGACCAGAAAGTTAGTAGAATTGTGTTAGTTTGCAAAGCTAAGAAAACTGGGTATTCTTGGAAGTAGTTATCCAAAAGCCTTATATTTACTTTGGTCAGGTTGCCTTAAACAATTCCTTAGCTTAAACTTTTTTTCTTTTTCCCTTACCTGTTTGTAAAATACGTTGCCAAAGTTTTAGACCTTGCCCACACCTAACCTTCATTGATTTGCTTTTGAGGTTGCATCCAAAGCAAGACTGATATGGAGGAAAAAAGTAATACCCTATTTGGTGGGCCAGATGAAATGGTTGAGACACTTCTATTTTTCTCTAGAAATATTCAGTTCCTGCTATGAAAGGCATTCCTAGAGCGGTAAATGCTTCTGTTGCAGTTCCTGAAGGAGAGGAGAGACTCTTAACTCTTACAAAAGCAGTTTTATTTTTCTATAATCCAGATGTGTTACAGGTAGTGCACTGTTTGTTTTGGTTTTTTTTATTCAACTTTGACAGTAATACTGAGTCATGAATGAGTGTTCAACCTTATTTGGTCAATCCAAGTAAGTACTGACTAGAAAACAATACATTGTGTATATATAGTGACTACTTAGAATTCAGTAATGATTTTAAAAATGGGCTTTAATGTACTTGAAATCTTATTTTGTCCTATCTGACTTTTACTGTTTTGCAATCAGAGACACAGTTAGAAAGGATACAGCTAGTGACAAAATTCCTTTTAAATGCACTGCTTAAGTATAATGTGAGACTAGGCTGTTCAGGACACAAAGCACCTGCATGTGATTTGTGTTGGGATATCTAAGGTCTGCATACTCAGAGGTAGCTAGCAAGTTGTAGTAAATGTACTAAAAGGCCTTTTGTTCTCACCAGGCCAGGAGTGGGTATGGAGAGACACTATATATTCATATAACAGTTTAACTCTGTGCAAATTGCAGCTTTTCTGTGGATTTAGCGAATCATCACTGAACTAGAACTATCTGTTTCTGTATTATTTTTTTTCCTCCCCTCGTAGGAGAATCTCCTACACTGTAAATGTCAAAATTTATTTTTTATGTTAGATTGTGCCTGTGATGAGAGAAATTTCAACGGTATTTTCTGTAAACTGCTAAGTTTTTATACTTTGGAACTCGGAGGCATGGTCTAATAGCAATAATGGAATATGCATCTTGCTAGTTAATACATTAAAACTTATCTTTACTGGGTCGGGTATTTTTGTTGCTGTCGATGCAGTTTTTATCTCAATATGACTCATTTCAAATAACTAGAGTTTTTAGATATCACAAGGTGGCATATTTATTGTGATGTACTGTAAATGTTGTTGATTTACAGAACTTGCACTTTTATATTTCTGGGTTAAAAAAAAAGAAACGTGGACATGAGTTTTTTGTTCCCTTGCTCCTCAAATTTGTCTCTTAATTGGTGGCCTCCTGAACAAAATGATACCAAGCACTGGGAAAACTGCGATGTCAAGTGACTCTGTAACAAAGATTTCTAGTCAGCAATTACCTCAGCATTTGTTCTTCCAGTATAATTATAGTCTCCTGCTTTAGAAAGTGAGTTACATGTGTCATGTTGAGATCAGCTATAGAGCGAACAAGATTTAAGATGTGTTTTTAAGACATCAGCTTTACTTGTTCTTCATTAAAGAAAAAGAACCACACACAATTGTATTTGTTGTATTCCTACACCTTTGAAAAATGTTTCTGATTTGCTCTAAAGCGAGCACTTCAATTTCTTCTGACTTTGAATGCTTGTTTCATAGTCCACTTACGCTTTGTTCTTAAATAAAATACCCCAAATGTTGTATTGAATTACTTTTCAGTTTAGAGCAATGTGATTGTCTTTCCAACAACTGATGCTACTTGTGTTTAAAAATTGCTGTAACTGTTTGAAGTTTGAATGGGAGCAAGTGCTAGGCTAGCATAGGGCTATATGTAGTGTTAGGAGGGTCCAGTTGAACTGACCAGTGGAGTCAAAGCAGGGGAGCCCATAAACTAGACTCCAGTTCCCTTTCCAGTCATCATTACAAATAAATAACAGTGGCAGCAATTGCTTTCAAGAAAAACTCTGCAATCCCAAACAAGTGAAGTAGTATTAAAGCTACCAAAACCACTGTTTCTCTTGAGACAGTAAGAAATTCAGCTTGAGACAGGCTTTCCAGAGTTAAATACTAAATTATTTCTAGTTTTGACCACTTCTTTTTTTAATGTATATTTGGGCCCCCAAACTGGACCCAGGGTAGGTGCGTATTAGAGCTGCATCTTGCCTCCCTGCTGCTGCTCAGAACCTTTGCTTGGTCACCCAAGATTTTCATGACCTGTTTATCTTCTGTGTTCTACCCACCAGTGTGTTTTAGCCACAGGAAGTTCACGTACAGTTGTCTTACTGTTTGTTAGACCCTAACTTCTTCTTTGCTGCTTTTTCCAGAATGCTGTTTATCTTTAATGTGACTTTTCCCCATCAAGTAATCTGTTAAGCTCAGAAGGACCAACTGGTCTTTGATCATTTTCAGTCATTTTTTGGGAAGCTGTGCTTATGTGTAGGAAATGCCCAGAAGGGCTCCCAGGTGAAGAGGCTAAGAGGAAAAGAAAAAGCTTGTTTGAATTGAGTATTTGAGAGGGGAAGAGGGAGAGAGAGATTGTCAGGCTTCACAGAGCAAAACCATTTACATAACAAATGCCTCCTAGTTTTTCACTAAAAGCAATATGTTTACTGTATTGAAAAGGTTAATTAGTTATACTGCTAGGACATACACTTCTTCCCCACTTGTAGCAAAGGCCCTGACTTCGTGCTGACACAGTCAAACACATAAAGACACTTTAAATAAAAACACTATTTTGTACCTTTGGTATGAAAAACAAGGTGGTTTTCATGGAAATTTTTGTATATGAATGCAAACTCCCACTTAGGATTCTACTGAAGTCTCTGGCAGGTAGAAACACAAAGATGGTGCTTGCAAAAAATGCGAGTCCTTCTGCCTATTTATCTGAAGCTTTGAAAGGGATTCCAAGTTAAAAACCAAACCCACACCCCATGTGCCCCCAGGCAGTGTGAAACATTAACCTGTTGTGAACTATCTAATGAAGAGTTAATGAATGACCTGAGCCTGTTTTTTGGTGGAAAAAATATGGCTTATTTGGGACTTGGATTTGCTGAACTTCTGCCCAATTTCTAAGACTTTAAATGTCATCTGGAAGCCATTACTTCTGCAGGTGGGCAAAGGATGGTAGGACAAGGTGATTGTCTTCAGCTGGGCAAACTGGTCTTAGGCTGACTGGCTCTTCAGTTTGGGAGCGGATGTGTTTTTTCCTGATAGTTGTTCTTAAGTTTGACAGACACACTTTTGTGTCAGGGGCTGAAGCCTGTTTAAGTAAGTTCATGCATGCTTCTGTTACCTCTGATTGTAGCTTTTTCTGTGGTTTATGACATCTGCACTTAAACATCTTTGAGGCTTTTGCTGTGCAGAGCTCTGCAGGCCTAGAATTTTGAAAGTCTTCGAGAGAAGCAAATTTACAAGTTACCTTCTTATTGTGTTAATTGAGGACGGTCTGAAAGTAACTGCCTCTGCACCCAGGTATGTTGAATGTCTTTATGAAGTCCTGTTGCTTCCATATGTTCTCCATACAGAAATCTAGACTTCAGATTACTATCCCAACTCCGGAAGTGACTTTATTTTTCTAGTCCTCATACATATTCTTGAAGTATGTATTATTCTGCATATAGGAAAGCTGTTCTTACTAATTTTGTAAGTCCATAGCATATCTGTATCTAAATCTTTAATATTATGGTCTGTGTTGTCACTTTCCAGGACTGATGAGCTGTCATGTGGGAAGTTTTCTTAATGAGAAATTACTTCCTAAGGATTCTTTTATGGAAGAAGCATTTTATGGTGAGTTTACCATTAACATACTTTCCAGTGAACTAAAATTGAAAGTGATATAATACTGTGTTAATTTTGAATGACCTCTTGTGGATTTGTTACTTACTGAAGAAAGTTACCGTACATAGTCTAGATACTTGAGCAGCAGTGACACTTGAGTCTTAAATCTTCAGTGCTGCTGGAATTCCCCTGGGGATTTCTAGAGATGCAGACATCCAGCAGTGCAAGAGCAGGTAGGTGGATGATGGTTTTACAACTTTGATGAAGACTGTAGCACTGTTGGTGGATAAATTTTTATCCCACAGCAGAGTCCTGATCACAGCTTGCCCCTACAGTCTTCCTGCCTTAGTGATTCTCAGAAATGCATCTGGTGGTAGCCTTGAAGATAGAGCACTATGCAGCTACTTTTCTGGGGTTTGTTTTATTGGTACATAAATTGATCTTGTGTGCTGGAAAACGTGTGCTGGAAAGCAAATGCTGTCCCTGGGGCTGTTGAGGTTTGTTTCAGGTTTTGCCATTGCAAGCATGAAGTTCTGCAGTATGAATGGAGCTGTATTAAGGAATCATCTCTTTCCACATACTGCGATGGATGAAGAGGTTACAGTCCCAGCTGTGTACTCTGAGCTTCTGGCAGAGGTCACCACAGAACATCACTTCTCAGGTGCTGTACTTTGCAGTCTGTTGTGTCAGTCACTCAGCTGTTCTGCTTTCACAGGCTACAGCGTTGGATCGGGTGAAGTAACCCAAGACTAAGCACAAAGTTACTCTTGTCAAGGGGTGCGTTGGTGGAGTTTATCTTTAAAAAGGTGAATTCAGGGAATGGGTTTGAATTCACAGTGTGGTTCCCTGGTTGGCTAGCACCCCTGACCATGCCTCCCACTGCAGAGGGAACTGGAAGACGTCAGAGTACATACATACATACTTTGCTTTCTGGGGAGCCCAAGCAAAGGGACAAGTGTGCTGACAGAGAGGAAGAGCAGTTCCTTGAAGAATGTGATATTTAATATAGCTCCAAGGAACTCAACACCCATCAATTGACAGCTCCATTGCAGAAAGTAAATCCCACCCTGGATCTGATGGGGCTTCATCCCCTGAGGAACCTAAACTGTTGGTGTATACCCCTGCTGAGCCTGCAGAGTTTGCTGCCCATGTCCTGGGTAACAGTGATTCTTTTTATTATGTGAGGCATGTGTCAACCAGCGTGCAGACTGTTTGTGAAGACTCTCAAACCTCAGAGGGCGAATTAACACTAGTAGGAGGTGCTGCTGATGCAGCAAATTATGTAAATGAAGGTGGGAAGAACCACCATGGTCACCTGCTCCTAAAGGCACACTGTGGGCTGTGCCTTCCTGCAGCAAAGCTGAAGTTACCTCAGCCACTGAGGTTGTATCACTGTGTTGGGAGATTGAGCTGATGCTGGATGCAGAGGTTCCACCTTATGTAGAGCAGTTTCCATAGAAAATAATCATTCCCTTTGTAGACCTGTTCTGTTAAAGATTGAGCAGCAATTACATGCAAGGCTCAAGTGCTACAACCTGAAGCCCATCTGCAGCTGATTTATTGTGCCATTCTGAGAGAATGGAATCTACAGCACAAGTGGAATCATCTGAGCAAGCTTATGTCTTGTCAGGTAAGAAAGCTTGGGTCTTTGTGTCCACCTTCCTGTTTCAGCTTCCAGCTCTACAGCTTCATCAGTGGTCAGTAAATGGAAAGCACCTATGTCAGTACAATGCAGGGTAGAGATGACCTCTAAGAAACTACTGTACCAATATGGTTTTCTTGGCTCCAGGGTGCATGTGTTAGCTCTTGCTGACATTGTTCCAAAGGCTGGGGCTGGGACTCCTGCCCTCCTGTGGGCACCGAGTCCACGCTATTTTTTTAAACAGGCTGTTTGGACTTCAGGAAGAATGGAGTCTACACTGTAATACATTATGCAAATACTCCAATAAAGCCAGCAACTGGCACAGCATTCTCATGCATTTTATACTTTCCTAGCATGGCACAATATCCTGAATGTTAACTTGGTGTGGATTTCCCTGCAGTGGCTCAGCTTCTTCAGTGTATGTATAAGCCTCAGAGATACAGGTCAATGTGAGAACTGCACCCTCACACAAAAGGCTGCCGAAGAAAAGGCTTTCCCTTGTCTATGCACGCATGTCTCTGCATCACTACCTTGGTAATCCTAGTAGTGCACAGCCTAAAAATAGAAAGCATCTCATTGCCTCATTAACAGTTCAGCAGTCCACCATCAAATCAAGAGCTGCAACCTGCATGTTCAAGGAGGATGCTCTTGGTTGCCAACCATCCCACACAGGGAAGCACACTGCAACTTCACTGCAGCAACTTTTGGAGTAGGCTTGCTCAGAAAGCATTAGCACTGTCAAACACCACTCGCTTTAGACAGGATGCAAGAAGTTTTGAAGCCTTTATTTACCAGCAATTAAATTATTCAATTAACACTAACCTCCAGACAGCAGTTAAAATATTGTACAAAGAGCAGCCTGCCCTCTAGAAGCTCTGTACACAGTTCAATATAAACTTACATGCTAAGATTGAATGCACCCCACTGAAAAGGGGTAAAGCAGCTGTGCACAGGAGGCCTCACTGAGGTGCTGTACTACCTTTGAAATGCACAAGACTTCCTCCCAGGGAGTTTGCACAGTACAGACACAAGTCCTGTTCCTCCCCCACCATGTTCCACCGCATCCTGGACTGATGAGGTTCTTTATACAGTGGTGCTGGACACCAGAACTTTTAGTGCATGAAACAGATTCTTTTCAAACCTGTTGCTAGTGTGCAGTTCAAATCAAGTCTGTAGATATTTAAATGGCTCTTAATTCCTTAAACCATAAGGTTGGTAGCAAAACAGGAGAGCAAAATTCAGAATACACTGCACAAAACATTGAATAAATACCTCTGAGTAATGTTACCAGCTTAAACAACTGCATTAATGCTCCAGAGCCAGGAATGCTTCTGGAATCTCTGACCAGAACTCAGGATTCAAGGGAGTTCCTTTAGTAAAAGAAAAGTCAACTTTATGAAAAATTGAATCTTTACAAAAGTGACACATCATTCTTCATCTAAGACCAGAATATTGCAGTTGCTCTGTGTGCTTTTAGACATTCCCATGTCACAATAAATAAAACCAGTTTTACTTGTGCCAATGTTTTCTATGAAAGAAAGTATTCACAGAACAGCCGAAGGTGTTCTACTCCTCATACACCACGACCTAATATAGGTGTATTCAGCAAACAGGGCAGCTTGAAACCATGGTGACTCTGTCCGCACAGGACCCACCATCAGCCAGAAAAATTATTCCCCTACCTATGGGATGGCAGATCATGTACCACCAGATTTACTGTGGAGAGATGCTTAATATTCTGCTTGATAACTTGTCAGTTTTTTCAGGAGATAAGTAAAACAAGGGAAAATATTAAACCAGATTAAGACTTATTTGTATCAGTCACAGGCTCCTTATTGCATTTTAATAAATATCAGGCAAGTTAAAGTAGTTTCTGTCCCAGTAGTTGCCAGAATAGAGCCAGTCCTGTGTACCAGTGTAGGGATTGGGACCTTGGTGGAACCATCTGCAAGGAAACATAGAGTATGTAAGTGAAGTTATTAACACACACTTTTATAAAAGTTCAGAACTGCTTTGCTGCTTCTTCAGCAGTTTCTTGTTCAAAGTAATTGTTGTGATTGCAGGAGCCCTCTTACATTTAACTTTGTAAGTGAATTTAAAGTCATCTTCAGTGGGTGGATCTTTCCATTCACCACCACACAGCTTAAAATGCGTCCCAGGTGAAATTACTGATACTAGTATGTTGTCACTCGAAGCAGTCCGGACTATCACATATAAAAGACAGGTACAGTTTTACTTCAAAGCAGTTGTGAACAATCATTTTGGCATGCATAAGCAGTAACAGTTTTTGCAAGACATGTAAACACCACAAGCACTGCAGTCCCGAAAACAGAAAAACATTATTTCCCAGGGATCTAAGGCTGCCCCTTGTTTTTTACAGCCTTGTTTTGCAATGCACTTCACTCGGAACAAGTGTGCCTGTTACCCTCAGCATAGGTGAAGTATTGCCCACAGGCCGCAGGAACAGTCCTGGCTGATGGTAACGTCACTGTGTTGTGTTACACTGTTAGTGCTGGGAGCCTGATCTCAATGCCCAGAAAGCTGATTCCATCTGCAGGAAGTTACGTGCAAGCACTTGCTAAGATGGTTGTGGGTAAAAATACTGAAGTTTAGCACCTTCTTTCTTTCCTCCCCTCTCAGCTAATACGGAGGTGCACAGATTACACCTGCATGTGTATGTAGCCTTTTGCTGTGGAGGACTATCTGTAAATTAAGGTGCACTTTCAAGGCCATACTACTGGCAAATATCCCCCAGTGGGGAGTACAACCCTGTCAAATCATCATGGCACAGAAGTTTTTCTTCCTTCCTCCTCTCCTACACTGTTTCTGGCAATCCTGCTGCTGTTACTGTTTTTGGTTGGAGGCCAGTTACTCAACCTTCTGCCTCAACAGCACACACTACACAGTACCAGACCTCCAGCATTTTAACTTCTTGCTGTATTTGCCAAGCTGTGTTTATGGCACAAGTCAGCTTGCTAGGAGCTGTTTTTGTTCATAGGCTCCATGGCTTCCTTTCACCTCCGCACTGGCCACAAAAGCCAGTACTTCCTTTGTATCCCTCACTGCAGCAAACACACTCAAATAAATCATCCATGTGCAAGGCAGCCCATTTTAACTCAACTCTTCCCTTCTAGGGTACCGTAATGTTTCAGAACAGAAATTAAAGCACATTTGGACCAAGTATGACTTGATCTCTTTAAAAAGCAACAGCATAAAGGCCACCAGTAGTGCAGTGTTAATGTTACAAAGCAGGGCAGCTAATGGGCAAGTCTTGCTTGGCTCAAAAGATTTGAGATGTGTATCAGAAGAAATGCATTGTACCATCTTCACAGTGGTGAACTGAACAGTTGCAGAACACTTCAGCAGTTCTCTCTTCTGTCTGCTGAAGTGAACTGAAGTCAACAGAAGTCATTCACCCCAGTACCGTGCACAGTGAACTGCTGCATCACTTCCACATGAGATGAGTCAGCTATTCCAAAGTGTGTGCGTGTGTCTAGTTCATAAGTAGTAGCAGCTTACTCTGGAGCATAAAGCCAAGCATTTGCTGGGAGACAGGGCTATAAAGCACAGTTACCTCATCTCTCAGGTTAAAGAATTCTACCACCCAGTACCTCACTAGTGTGTCTTCAACACTTGTACACGTCAGGACAATGTGCCCCTCCTCCAGCAGCCACCTACTTCAATAGGATGGGGAAAGGCAATGGGAAGAAACAAGTCTGAGAGACCTAGGAGACCCAAAGCAATCAGATAATCCAGCTTCAAAACTGAACTAGTCTTCTACTCAAGACTTGAGACTACTGGTCAGTCTCTAAAATCTTCAGTGTTCAACATGAATCTTCAGAAACACCAAGACACCACTTCTAAAATGGATTCAAAATAGTTTAAGAAAAATCACTAGGCACTTTGGAGAACTGTCCTACAAGGAAGGAACTCTACTAGCCAGAGTAAGAAGCCTGCTTTTCTGTGGCAAGGAAACTGCACTAGTTCACACCAGAGTTTATATTGCACTGTAGGTAAGACCTACAGTTGATCTAGGAATAGGAGAATTTCCCCTCATGGTACGCATTTTCCCACCCCCAAAGCACAGCTCTTCCTGTATAGGCTTTATATTCATCCTTTGGAGGAGTCACACTTGGCATTCCTACTAAAGAGATCAAAGACTAGGAATTTTCTGCCAAAGCTTTAGAAACATCCTGGAAAACGAAGGATATCGCAAGACCAGTGCTGAGCAGGTCTACAGTACCTCCACAACAGCAACTGAAGAACCTTGTGAATGGTGTCTGCACTAATTATATACCTTGAAAACTACTGCTATGAGTTGCCCCCTGGGAATTCCCCAATTTCCCATACCAGCCTCAGGTGCTTTGAGCTATACCTTAAGCTACTTCAGGCACCTGGAAGAACAGAATATGACTATCCCTTGCTTGGAAAACACTTGGTGAGAGCTAGGAACACTCTGAATTCAGGAAAGGAAGCGGGAGGTGCAAGACTGTCCAGCACTCAACACGTTTACTTGGAAGCATTACAAAGATGTTATTTTCCACCAGTCTCAGGGCAAACAAACCCAAACACTTCAGGAGAGCAGGCACAGGAAAAAGACAAAGGCAGACATGTCCAAACCTGGGACTCTGGGATGATGGGTGACTTCATTTGAAAAAAAGAAAAAAGTGATTTATAGTTACAAACAGGCATTTTAAAGATGTAATCCACAGTGTCTGGGTGTATTAACAGCTAGTTAATAGAGAAAAGATGAAGCTTGCTTATTTTTAGAGACTTTAGCCCTACTATTTTTTTCTGTGAAGAGACCATCAGTTTATTACTATACTTTTAAATAGACTTTGTCTGGTCAAACTAGACTAATTCGGTCATGTTTTCACAGTTTCTACTTAGCATGTGTTTAAGAACTCCCAAATGACCCCTCTCATCTTGTAGTAAAAAAGCAATCATCCTTGTAAGCTAACTTTTCCCTTCGCTCTTCTAACTTTAGTAGTTAGTAGCCCTTTCAGAAAGGAGACCATGATTTTGATAGATGGGTGATACAGTCATTTCACCAGCTTTGAGAGTAACTATGCAGTAGGAATACAGTATTGCCAGCACAAAGCAACTGATCTGAGAAGTCATGGGGCAATAAGCTATCATCAAGTTCACTGGAGGAAGCACTTCCTCCTCTCTTTGGCCAAGCATGCAAATTTGAGGTGATTATAAATTAATCAGCAACAACAGTCCTTACAAGCAGCTATCAGTGACACCACCTTTTCGTGTCAGAACCAAGAGGTGCTCAGAAAAGACAGCACAGTTTGAATTTGAATAAGGGTGTGCAAGCAGCGAGAGGGAAGGGAGTGAGACCAGGCCTGATACTTCTCTGGAAGCACTACAGCCTGCAGGGACCAAGTCTGCAAACAGAACAGTGGCACTACCAAACCTGACGATGCCAGCTCTTCATGCTGACACAGCACTGCACATCACCAGCGTGGACTGGCAGTTAACCTGAATGTTCAAAACCTTTATGTAACTACACACACACACACACACACACACAGAGGCAGGCACACACTAACCTCGTTTTCCAGTCTTCCTCTGACTTTGAACGATTTTTGCGGGCAGTCCTTTGTTTTTCTTCTAGCCTCTTCTTTTCTTCACTAGCTAGATCTTGAAAGAGTAAGTACACACAAACAGAAATACAGAAGACATTAAAGCATAACATAAGACAGGGGCATTACCATCTGACCCAGCAAATAAGGGAAGCAGTAAACACTGTCCATTTAAAAACACAGAAGAGTATCTGGTTGGCTAAGAGCAAAGCCAGTCCAGCTGTGGCACAAGATCAGTCAATGAAATTCCAGTCTTTAAGACAGCTAAATACATGTTTATCCATCACCTGAGGCCCCTGAAAATGTGTTTATGTGACACCAAATGTGAGCTAGGGGAGATGGCATACCTAGAATTTATTTCAGTAGGGGAACTGATTTAGATATTCTGGGTTCATTTCGGAAGTCTGACCACCTGCTTCTTTTAAGGTTTGGGATAAGTTGTTACTAGTGCCTAGCTCCTGATCAACAGGGGGTTGGAATACTCATTTCCAAACCACAAAGAATTGTCACTCTGCAGCATCCTTCATTTTTTGTTAACGCAGTAAGATAGCACAGGTCATGGTCCTGAACAAGCAGAAGAGTTGCTTCTATTTGGCAGAAAGAATGGTCAGGAAGTCTGAGGAGTAAGCAATACGAAGAAGCAGATTAGGTTACGGCTGACCTCCTTCCTACTTGAATCCTCAAAAAGCATTTCATTAACATTTTAGAAGGAAGTAGGTTTTTTTTTTTGGAAGTTCATTTTTGGAAGACATTCTCAGTTACCCTGCCAGCTCCTAACATACTACCAGCCTATCTGTTAGACAAACTTGATGCTGTTAGTATAGTTAAGGAATATGGTCTGTTGATAATGGCATAGTTTTTGCACTTCAAGTTTAGACAAATTACTGGGGATGTCTGAACCAAGTATGTCTGTCCTGGTGGCCACAAAAGAACTGTACAGGCCAGAGAGACTGGTTGTGGGAATTCACTGATCTGCCTCAAAACAGGTGGTTTTCAGCTTCTGAGAAAGAACTGTGCAGTTCAGCTGTACTGTATTACGCCTGTGTCACTGGCTTTTGTTTTTCATAGCCAGATCTCAGACTGTTTATCAGAAGCAGAGGGCCTAAAGCTAAATAAATAGCATAGCATTGTGAAGTTTAAGGTTCTTGCTTAGATGGAAGAACCATAAGCAAGTAGGTGATGTGGTGGGTTCCTGGCCAGCAACTATGTGCCCACCAGCCACTCGGTCACTCCCACCTACCCCAATGGGTTAAGGGAGAGAATCAAAGAGCAAAAGCAGAAAACCCCCAAAAACCTCATAGGTCGAGATAAAGATGGTTTAGTAAGTGAAGTGAAACAAAAAAAAAAAAAAAAACCAACAATGGAAGTGATGCAAAGGCAACCACTTACTACCTTCCACCAGCAGATCTGTATATGCAGCCAGTCTCCAAGCCACAGCTACTTCGCCCTGACACACACAATTTACTGCTCAGCATGATGTTACATGGCATGGAATATCCCTTTGGTCAGTTTGGGTCAGCTGTCCTGGCTGTGTCCCCTGCCAGCCTCTTGCCAACTCCAGAAACAGAGGCAGCTTTAACACTGTGCACATGTTCAGCAATAGCCAGAACACTGATGTGTTATCAATCAGCACTACTTTGGTCACCAGTCTATGAGCTGCTATGAAGGAAATTATCCCAAGCAGCCCCAGCAGAAGTGGGTGACACATCTTTCACCAGAAGCACACCACAACCTGCAGAAGGCTGCACTGTATTAAAGAGCTACTGTCTGCAGCACGGAGGAATGTATCTTTATGGGTAGCTACTTACTCACAATTTATCTAAAAACTTTTATGTGGAATTTACTTTTTTCTAGTCACTCAGTTTTAACAAAAATAAAAACCACCTTTGCCAATAATTAAAGTTACCTATTTCTCCATTTTCCATGGCTCTGATATCTGGTCGTAGCCGGCAGTCCGTTTTGGGGATGACACTCTCCATTTCTTTGTCCAACTCATTCAAAGCCATAGCAAAGCTAGTAAAATTATACATCTGAAATTCAGAGACAAAGAGGTGAGTTTACAATGTCTCCAGCAGCTAGTCTTAATACACAAGAAAGATTTTATGATGTTTTAAGATTTTATGATGTTTTTAGACAGCAGCTAAGTGCTTTTTTTATTGCTTAATCACTCAAGATAGGAATACTCAAGACACCAGCAAAACTGCACTGTCAGGCAGCGTGTAGGTGATCCGTGGTGGTTCTTTTAAGCAGGCCAGCACTCAATTACTCAGTGTGCTATTTCTCTCTTATCTTCTTTTTCCAGTCCTACTGTTATTTTCCCTATCTCTGTAGAGAGATTTCCCCCTTGATTAACTCACTGAAGGCACCTTTTCGTGTTCCAATTCTTGGTCTTTCCAGTTGCACATGTACCCTTGCATTCTGCCCACTGGCACTCCAGCTCCACAGCCCTTGACGCACCAACTCAAGCTGTGCAGGCTTTGCAAGCGTCTCCTAGGAAGTGTCTGTCCATCTAACCCCCCATTACAGAGTTACAGTTGCAGCGGGACAGCTTGTCGCAATAAACAGGCAAATCCACACTTGTTAATGAAAAAGACAACAAAGGGATTTGCTTTGTGTTGAAGACACAGAATAACAGGACAGCACACACTTTCAGTGAGCAGAAGCATAGCTGACCTGTGCTGAATTTGGAGGTCTTGGAGTTATCTTCCACAGCAAAATACTTCCAGGAATAACATACACACTTTCTGAATCTGGCAAGGGCATCTCATCTGGTTCCTCAGTATTGCCCACCTGAAGGCAGCACACACAGAAAAGAGGAGTTACGTAACTCGTAAACATTTACACTCATTCATTCCAACACTGGAACTTACATAATATTATCTCCTTGACCAGAAGTAAGTAATTCCAGCCACGGAAATTTTTCTAGATGATTCTCAAGAAGGACAGCATTAACATAGCACACATACTCCCAAATCCCTCCCAGTGGAATACTATCAACAGCTTCTTGCATCAACATCTTCATATATGTAATCTGGATGTACCAAGCTTTAAGAAATGTCCATTTTTCTACCACAGAGATGTCCTGTTTCCTCAAACACAAGCGTTTTCATGCCTGGTATTTAGCTCCACTATCATTTCATTAAAGTTTAAGAACAGAAGTCACATTCCTCATCCTTCCGCATCAAAGAAACACCAGCACATGATGCAAATGCCGTCTTCAGTTTGCACACAACAAAGCCCTGTGCTAGTGCTCTTTGCTCAGAGGTACCTTCCTTTCCATTCACCACTACACTACTACAATGGCAAACGGCAAACATTAAATGAATATCCTAGATCAGCTACTTCTTCTGGGAAAGGCATGCTGTGAATGCTCACATACACGGCCCAAGGCAGCTGCAGTCACAGCACTGTGAAATACTTTTCCCAGAAGGGGAAAAGCTTCACCCAGGCTTACTAGAACAGTAGAAAATCACTGGTGTAGATGTGACCTGAACTAGTTCTAAACCATCACCCGTTCTATGCACAGCTTTAAAGCAGGTGGGGTCCAATGCTGCTGACACTACTTCTGCCACACAAGCTGTGTTACAATACCGAACTAAAGCCAGCCTGACAACGCGTGTGGCTCCACCAAGAAAACTTTGTGTCACTATCACAGCTAAAACCAGCAGCACGTTTTAGAGATTAAAAACGAACTGGATTAAAACCAGCACTGGAGATTAAAACTGAACTTAAAAGCATTAGTTGACAATGCTTTAAATACATTGGCTACATGCCAACAGCTTTAATCCTGCTGCTAACAAGCTTTGCTTTCCGATGGTTGCATCAGATAATACAGACCAATGTTTCAATGCAGAAGAACCCAGTACCCAAACTAGGCTCAGATGTCCTCTGAGATGATTCATGTGTCAGGCCTCTGAGAAAATTACAGAGAATTAAGGATTCTGTTTCATTGTGGAGCGCTTGGATACAGTGCTTTTAATAATAAACAGGTTGCAAGGTAACCAGAACAACATGCAGACCAGGTTCAGTGCCTCAGCTATTAAGAAGATAAACAGGGATTTTAGCCAACTACATCAGAACTGTGCTGGCAATCTGATGTTCTGTCCTTGAAAGGACACCAATCAATCTTGCTGAAGTCAAGAGTTTGAAGCAGAACAGACGAGTAAGGTATCCTTATATGAAAACAAACACATGTCAATACCAGACTGTCCAACTCCAAACCGACTTCCACAGAAAGGCTACAATGCACACTAACATTTGTGCCTTGGTGGATACATAACCTTAAAAATGTTGTAAGAATTACAAAGAACTAGTCAAAAAGTGGATTTTCATGTGCTCTTGCCACAATGATTCATATTTTGTGCTCAGCACTACTCAATCTCTCAGTATATTGCTAGGAGGATAGTAACAGACGTTGCCAAAGCAAGACTTCTGAAGTCTGTAAACGAGAGCAGTTGATGTTGCTTTATGTGATGCTCTTCCATGTACTTGCACTGGCAATTCTGCACAAAGTACTTTATCTTAATTTAAAATAGGCTCCAGTTCATTCGGAGCAGAATCATCCTGGTCTGAATATATCCAGCTCTACTATTAACTCTTTCGATGTTGGTAAAATATCACCTCTGCACACATGAGGGATTGCCTTGCTTCCTGTAAAATTGTTTTTCCTTATATTTTACCTCTATTAAAAAAAAAAAAAAAGAGAAGAAAAGAAAAAAATATCAAAAGGATTTGGAGGAAAATCCAGGACAATCTGCAAAAGGACTCCCATTGAAGCAGGTCCCCTAAAGGGAGAAAGAAAAGCAATTCTTCATTTGCAGCAATGCAGCATGGAAGAGTAGTTGGAATATTACTAAATAAATCTGAAAACTCTAATTAGGAGAAGTTTCAAAGACCATGTAATCTCATGCCTGAATGAATCCTTCACTCCTATGAAGGAACAAACCACATCCAGACATGATACATGAAACTTGCTCACCTAGATGCTTAAACCCCATAAACAGTATCAACTCCTCAAACACAAGGGGGCAGTGGGAATACACATTCAGTAGAGTGCCCGATTCGTAGCGTGCATTACAAAGCTTTCAGTTTTCTACACAGAAATAGTCTGTTAAATGAGTAGGAAAAGCCTGCCTCTCTAGAGTCAGAGCAACACTGCAACTTGAGCTTTATGCAACAGGATGCTTCATTTTGAAGTAATCGTCTTAAGCGTTGTTGGGAAATGCAAAGTGGTAGCTGAAAAAAGACACAAGGATGTGTTTTTCTTTGCTCCTTCTCCTTAGAGCTCACAGGGTCAGGCTCAAAGAGAAGCAGTAATCCCCAGTGCTTCAGCGCTCTCTTGACAACAAACACTGGTGCAATCTCAGGTACAGCAACAATCTGAACCTGCACAGGAACAACTGTTTTCAGAGTTGTCTCTTTTTTTCCTTCAGAAAAAAAACTAACACCACCCAAACGGACAAAAAAATCTGGCTTCAGTCAAAGGGAAACAATCCCTGGTTTGAGCTATTATGCGAGTGTTGTTCTTCATCAAGCTGTTTTTTGTCACCATCATCATACACCTTAAACAAAAAAGCATACTGCTGACCAGAAATCTGGAAGAAATAAGAATAAGGGCTCCTCTGTTTTGGGTTTGTTTTCTTTTCCCCCCAGAAGAAATACAAAAATTCCTTGTAAAAGTGGTAAAATATGATCTATCAAGATGAGAAGTTAGACTACCCTGCCTGTAGAGGTCAAAATCCTCCTATTAGAATACCAGTGTTATCATATATCATCAGAACCAGGAACCAACTAATGGATAAGCTATTTTCTCCACATGACCTGGGAGAAAGAGCCAGGTAATGAACCAGCGAGTATTTAGATGACTCCAAGTTTTGGACAGTTTGAATACAAATCCTTGAGAGAGAAAGCATTTCATTCCTTAATGCTGGTACTCATCCAATACATTTTTTATCTTACTAGGAAAGAAAGTAACTGAAATAAATCTTAATGCTCTTAAATGCTACTAAAAATTATTTTAGCTGTCTTATGCTTTTGAGACACCACTTCTCTATGTGCTTAATACCTGTTTACCGCTTTTCTTCTCTTCGGTATTTTTCTTGTCAAGTTTTTTGTAAGCATCGAATGTAGCTGGGTCAACACTGTACAAACACTCAGTCCACTTCCCATACAGCGCACAAAGTTTCTTTTTGCTGTCAAAAAAAAGAAAAGACTAAGTTTACAAAGGAGCTTAAAGAGATTTATTTCATCATTTCAGGCAAAAACATCTGAAAGAAGAACTGTGGGCAACTCTTAAAACTTCATTATTGATGTTGCACAGTTCATACCCTTGCTGTTGCAGGTTCGTGCCTTCCACAGACAATGTTAAAAGACATTCAGTTCTACAGGTCCCATGAAAAACAGGGGGCAGCCATTTGTTCCCTATTAGGAATGAAGCTGTTACCTTTTGTCCTGAATGTAGCCTTCAACTTTGTGCAACTCCTTCCCAAAGAGGCCGCAGGGCTTAAAGCTCAGTATACATTTCTCACCAGTTCTAAAGGCAGTACAAGAGGGCACTAATTACTTTCAAATACTTTTCTTTTTCAAACTTATAGCAAGTGAAAGCACTTCCACTCTTAACTTACTTATGGTTTGTTATTTCTACATTTCCATACTGCTCGATCCAAAGTTTGCCCACAATGATGTTATGCACACAGCACGTAGGATTTGTCCACGTATAGGCTTCATTGTGTCTAAGGAAGGGAAATAAAAATTGAAACACTGAACGTTGCTCCTGCAAACAGCCATCATCTATAAATTGCATCAAGTCTTGAAAAGGACGTGGCAGTAAGTCAGGAAACCTAAGAAATTTATTAATCCTATTGCTGCAGATTTTATCAATTCCTTAAAACGGCCACTTCAGTGCAGTCACTGTTAGCACTGAATGACATAAACAGGACTCAAGCATGCCAGTCGTGGTAGGACTGACATCCAGGCATCTGTAGAACATACAGACACAAGCCTCAACTATTGCTACTATTACTATGCAGTGTATTAGGAGACACGATGGCAGTTCTTTTCATCTTCTCATACACTCCTCCCCACAAAGTGATCTGCCATCAAACATTAGTATGTGGGTGTTAAACAAGTCCATTCTTAAGCAATGAGACTCTAAAGCACACTAATCATCATGGATCTGGCCACTCTGCCTCTGCAATTATTACTTATTGACTTACTCAAGAAGCTCCAAAGTCATTGTGCCTTTTGGTTCTGCTTCCACACTCTTGCCCCAGAACTTGAGTTTAGGATAAATTGATCCATGAAACACAAAATCATTATTTAAACCTTCAGCATAGAAAGCACTGATTGGTGGATGATGGCTAACTTGCTCTGAGAGAAGTCTAAATCCAAGATCATCTCTGCAAAATAAAGATAACCAAAAGCATGTATCCATGTAATTAGTGAAGTTGCAGCTCTTTTCCCCAGGTGAAACAGATGGTTGGACCCATGCACGGTTGTTGTACTCAGTGCAAGAGTTAGTTACAACCCTGGGATAAAACAAAAAGATCAACTAATACATAGAACATCCTCCTTCTAAATATCTGAGGACAGACTGGATGGGATTTTGAGCATCCTGGTCTAGTGGAAGGTGTCCCTGCCCATTGCGGGGGAGTTGTAACTAGATGATCATTAAGGTCCCACGTAAAAAGGTAACAAGGATTACCAAATCTGATCAGCCACTATGTTTACTCTTCACAGTGACCTCTTTCTTAAACTTTCACATAGACAGGGGCTAAAACCTTACCTGAGGGAAAAATTTACCTTAAGTGCACCTGCAAGTGAATAGACTAACATTGCCTATTTGTATTCTGGGCACTCACATAATGAATATTGCAATTGTAACATCTGCCTTATGTACCATGCATTTTTTCATTCAGAAGGCTTCAGAGAAAAAAAAAGTCATCTTTGTAAATAAAACTTGCTTTTAAACCTGACAAATACCATTTGCCTGCTATGAGTTGAAAAGTAGTCTCCCTGCTCTGGAAGGTGCACTGCTGAACACAAACATGCATTGCACGTAACTCCAGCAGCTGCTAGGAGAATGCGTGGAATCCTATGAGCTAAAGAGCATTCTGCAAGCCACCTGACAAGTCTAATGAAACATCAGGTACACAGAATTTGACTCTTCAGTGCATCTTCCGGTTTTTACCTGATCAATTCATACGTCTCTCCAAGCAGCGGGTTGAATGGCTTCCCTGTACGTTCCCACTGTGAGGCCACAGCAGACACAGCAAATGCAGCAACACACTATTCAAAAGAGTAAGAGCACACAGTAAATCTCCTGGATCTTAGTCTTTATCAACCACAGTCGTGGTATTACAGAATGAATCTTCTGCAATAGCTCAGCAAAGTTCTCTTTGCAAGGCAGGGGAATAAACAGTTCTCATCAAAAGGCTAAAAAAACACGCCTTAGGAAAAGCAAAGCATTTTTCTAGATAAGCATCCTGGTTTTGGCTGGGATAGAGCAATTTTCTTCCTAGTAGCTGGTACAGCACTGTGTTTTGGATTTAGAGTAAGAATGGAGTTGTTAACAAACTGATGTTTAGTTACTGCTGAGCAGCACTTACACAGAGTCAAGGCCTTTTCTGCTCCTCACCCCATCCCACCAGCGAGCAGGCTGGGGGTGCATAAGAAGTGGGGTGGGGACACAGCCAGGACAGCTGACTCCAACTGGCCACAGGAATATTCTGTACCACATGGTGTCATGATAGGCATATAAACTATGGGGAAAGCTGGCCAGGGACCCCTGCTTGGGAGCTGGCTGGGCATCACTTGGCAGGTAGTAAGCAACTGCATTATCATTTGTATATTCTAATTCTTTTATCATTGTAATTTTCACTTCCTTTTCTGTCCCATTAAACTGTCTTTATCTCAGCCCACAAATTCTACTTCTTTTTCCCAATTCTCTCTCCATTTGTAGGAGTGAGCAAGCAGCTGTGTGGTGTTCAGCTACCTCAGCTATCTGCCAGATTAACCCATGACACTCCTGGCCACATGGGTTGCATGCACCTGACTTCATCTGGATCTTCGGTTAACTGCTGTTGACCAGGTCATCGTAACTCACCTTCAGCGCAGCTTATTCCCTCAGGTACTGGACACCTTTCTCCATGGTGGCCCACTTGCCTTTGGTGACACAAAACATCTTCCTTGAAGGAATACTTTTCCTTCCTGCCTCACAGGAGCCACCTCCAGAGGCTGAGGACTTGTGCCACTTTTCGAAACACTGTGCCACTGCCCTCTTCCCTAAAAAGGGATTCCAGCTGTTTGGTTTCCTTACACCCTCTAATTCCAGGCTCCTGGCCCTGGAATCCCAACATCTGAGCAGCCAGGTGATAGTGTCCTGACTGGGATGAAGCTGAAATCTTTTCATGTATCTTGCGGGTCACTCAGGGATAGGGATCAGGTGGTTAGCACCTCATTTATGAATTCTTCCTCTTCCTCCTCCCAGATCAGTGGCCACCTCTCTCCCTCCTCCCATTCTCATGATGGCCATGCTTCAAAGTAGTCTGCCTCATCCACTACTTCTGCCTGCCTCCTTTTAGAAGCTCCTTATTCCCTTACTAATCAAGTTGACTTCACCTTCCCGTATTTCTCATTGTGTATACAGGCAACTGATACCAGCACGGGCTGGTTCTCCGGTTCAGCTGCAGTGCCAGGTGCAGGGCTTGGAGTAGCTGCCTGTCATTCTGTTGTCAGACCCACAGACCTTCCCTTCCCCTTGAGGGTACTAAATAGTGTTGAACAAGGCTCAGCAGGCACGGGCCAGACCCCAGCACACTGCAGTGGTTTGTGTATCTCTGGAATTGCTAGGGTGATAACACGCTTTTCCTATGTATTTTACTAGTTTTCCAAATTCTGCATTTGTTCAGAGGTGAAATTCCAAAATGTTTGAGGTGACCACTGTCTTGGCTATGTCTCCTCCCAGTTTCTTGTACCCTCCCCCCCCCTCCCCGCAGCCTGCTTGCTGGTGGGGTGGTATGAGAAGCTGAAAAGTCCTTTGACTTAGTGTAAACACTTCTTAACAACAACTAAAACATCAATGTATTATCAACATTATTCTCATCCCAAATACAGCAGTGTACCAGTTGCTAAGAAGAAAATTATCCCAGCTGAAGCCAGGACAATGAGCAAAACTGGTTAATGAGTAAGAGAATCCAACATGCAGCAAATCATGGGAGTTCCTCCTATGAGGAGACTATCTAGGAAGAAGAAAGATCCCCACACATTCATCAAGAGCTTAATTGCAGAAATTACCACACCCGAAGTACCTGCATTCGCTCGGTTGTGCTGGAAAGTGAGCTGGCTTTGTGGATGAGGTATGTATGCTCCATGTACTCTGTAAGTCGTTGTAGAAAGCTCAGCGGCTCGTTGAAGATAACTGGCATTGTGATCTTGGACAACTCCTGATGCACAAATGAAACGTGTGTTAAAAACCAAACGATTAGATACACTGACCTGCAGTGACCGAAGCGTAACTGGCTTATGAAACAAAAATAAATGATGCTCTTAAGTGCTAATGCCGTGTGCTTGACCTGGCTCTGCTAATGCTGAAAGGAAAAAACCCTGTACATCCCTTACGAGCCTGATAAGCCTATCTATGTTGACATTAATGCTACCTTTAAAACAAAAAGAAAACCAAATATCAATCAAACAAACTTCCTATCAAGAAAGCATTAAGGTGAGATGAAACAATGGAAGAATGGTGTATTAAGGACCTTTCTAAAGGCTAAATTATTTATTACTTTTAAAACAGATATAGGCCATCTAATTACTTAAACATACTATCTTCTTTGGACGCAGGTAGGCAGGCGGGGGGAGGAGGAGGATGAGAAAGGACAGGGAAACATGGTGGCACAGAAGTGAAAACAGGGATTCCGTGTTCAGAAGGAAAAGGGAATTTCTGTAAAAGGAATAAAAAAATTAGTAGAGGTCCTACAGTTCTGATGCTGTTTATTCTCTTTCCCACTTTTAAAAAGCATGCTCTCTAAAGGCATAACATAGCAATGTTTTAAGCTGCCTGCAAAAAAGCATATAGTATGACCACTGGCAATGTGCATGGTAAACAGCACTGTTCTTAACCATAATATCAGCATATGGCACTAACAGCTTTGTCAGACATTTTGGTACAATGCACTCCAAGTTCCACTCCCCCCACCAACTTCCGTGCAGCATTTCTGCAAAGCAGAATTAAGATCTTTATGGATTTTTTTTTTTCCTGCACACACCATATGCAGACAGGCTTTCAATATGCCCTTTCTATTTTAAGGTTATTAACACTTTCCTACTAAAGCCACTGTGAGCAGGCTCAGATGCTTCACAACAACTCAGGAGACTTGGAGCTGCTGATACAGGTATTCCCCAGCACTTCCACATATCATTGCTTGGTGCTGTTTATAACTACAAAGGGAGGAGGAGAAAAACAGCAACTAAACCCACATTACAGGCTGGCGGAGGTTTACCAGCAGTAAGTACTTTCAGCCTACTGCAGGGATCTGATGGAGAGAGCTCTTCTCAATCCACCCCTTAAGCTGGAAGCAGATTAGGTGCCAGCCAGGTAACCTCTGATCTGGCAACTGTCCGGCCAGTAAACACCATGGGGACAGGGGAACGACTGAGATGTTAAATGGAAGGGAGAAAAGTAGTTCGCTTTTTTGTTCCATTTTGTTTTTTCACAAAGGAAAAAAATTGCTACCACAAAACACTTTAGGGTTAAAAATCAAGAGAAAATGCTTTTATTGAAGGAATATTGCTCTGAAAAAGTCTTACCCTCTTGAGTTGTGAAAGCAAATAAAGCATAAGCAGCAAATTAAAAACATGACTTTCCCAAAAAGTTTTCATTTGGGCCTCAAGTGAAACAATCACTTCACATCTTTTATCATAGCCTTCTGATTACCTACCATTCCAATGCATTTTCTTAAGATACTCCAGATACTGAAGTCATTTCTGGAAAACATGGGAGATGGCAAGCTCGTTCTGCAGAAAGGAACAGGAAGAAAGCAGAAGAAAAGCTTTCCATTACTAACCATGACTAAGAAGCGCAAATACTCTTCTTTGAAAGTAACAGTGTTCCAATTCTTAAATTAAAAAAAACCAAAGGGGAACGACAGCACTACTTTGGAGCACTTAAACTGTTTTACCTGCACAGAAACCTGAACTTCCCCAAAACCAGAACAATCCCATTCTTTTCATTGTGCAAAAGAGCAGTGGAAGAGAATTTCTATATCAGTTATCAGAACTGTGTAAGTTCTTTATGAGTTAGGTAGATACCTATGTCTGAACAGATTGAACAGATCTGAGGGTTAAACAGTGGGGTACTTTTTTTTCCTAGTCACCTGTATACTGACAATGAATGGCCATGACATTTGCTGCCTATATTAAAATCAGCCTTCAGGAACAACAGAAAAAGCAGCATCGTTAAAGAACAGAAAACACAGCAGCCTGTTCTACAGGGGGCTGACATATCCTGAAGCAAATCTTAAACATACTTTCAAACCCAACATTTAGTCTGTGTAACACAGCCTGTATTTCTCAGCTTTGCCAGAAATCAGGCACGGATTTTGTTCAGTTTTCGTACTGCTACTGACCAGCTCAATTATTAATCCAATTTACCCATGGGAAAGCATAAATGTAAGTCAAAGCTCTTCATCCACAACGCTACTAAAATCTGTGTTTGGATCAGGAAGCTACTACCAATGAGAAAAATCATCAAAAGATATTTATTACCTACAGTTCACTCAAAATACATGAACTATTTGAATTTCAAAGTTTAGTTAACTCTATCTAAATGATCGTGGTGCCCTCCTAACCAAGAAGGTTTTGTTTCCCCTCAAATTAGCTAAACCAGTATCATTTTTAGAGTGTGAACAGGCTGTAGCTGCCTCCTCCACGCCTCTTCTCTGGTAAACAGAGTGCCAAAAGAAGAAATAAAAATTAAAACAAATTCTATTCAGGCCAAGATGTTAGTTTCAGTAGTCCTACTTGCTGTGTTACCTCCCATACTTAACTGCTATTGAAAGACCTCGTCTACCAGGTGTCCTGGGTTCAGCTGATGTTTCAGTTTTCAGAAAGAACAAAACCAAAACAAATGCTCCTTAAAATACAAGCAGCCTCATCTAATAAAAACCCAAGTCATATGCCTGAACTCCTCACAGTAGCAAACTGCGTTTTGTTAGCAAGTAGCTAAGAGCCTAACACTGACTTGTTCCACTCGGCTCCCATGCAGGGGATGAGTGGGAAAGGAGGATTTATTTTAATTGACCAACATGGTATCACTCACTCCATATTCTAATTTTCCACTGATACAAAACTATTTGGTGAAACAGATCATCTTAAATATTAGGTGTAAAATATTTCTGTAGGTGCCCTGATACAAATGTCCAGGAGAGGACAGTGTCCACCAAGTCATTCAGTCTTATCTTCAGTTGTAGTGATTACTTTATTTTTTTTTGTGTATTCTTTAATGAAGGCAGTTAGCAGACCTGGTACTTGTCTTTTGAGTAAGCCCTTCACATGCCTCTAGTTTGCTAAACTATATACAGGGACTGCTTTCCCTGCATATAAAAACTTAGGTTTTCCTTAAAGTTAACCTGTCCAATTTGTTTAATTACTCGAAAGCTGGCATTCAGTTTCAGCCATTTACTCATACTTCTTACCTACATCAGCCAAACCTGATATGGGAGTCAGAAAACACAAACCAGTTTTGAGCCACCAAGAAAGATCCCAGGGACAAGTAAGGACATGTGGAAAAATGACAGGCAGCCAAGACCTGCTAACCTTGACACACTCCCTGTGATTAAGGGAAAGGTTTATGAATGCAGAAATTTCCTTCCAGATGTCAATTTTAGAAAGAACTCAGGAAATTAACTTTAGCTTTAAGTGACAAAAACATCTGCTGGAATTTCTGTGCAGTAGAACAGATAAGATGTATTTAAGATCATTCACTGAAACAAAAACACCTGTCCAAAGCATTGTCTATAGTAGATCAGTTCTACAGGAATCTTGTGGGGAAAGAGACATACGGTGTGAAACAATGCATGTTTAGCTTGCTTCTCATGTAAACCTAAGCAAAGCCCTGGCTCCCCAAAGCTACACACAGACATGTCTGCATGGCCCGCCGTGAGGGAACCAAAGGGAAACCTTACAATAAAAAATCAGCAATAACAGGGAAACAGCAGTGACAAGTGGATGTTAAATGCAGACTGTGCAGGCTGTTAGTTTCAGCAGTCCTACTTGCTGTGTTACCTCCAATACTTACATGCTACTAAAACACCTTTATCAGGGCTGATGCTTCATTTTTGTGCAAGTTTTTTTTTGGGTTTTGGTTGGTTGGCTTGGAGGGGGGCGTTTATTCTTGGGGTTTTGCTGTGGGTTTTTTGGGGAGGGTTTTTCTTTGGTTTTGGTTTTTAAAGTTTGGCTCAGAGTAACGGTTTCCCTCTTAAACCAAAGTGATTCAAATACTTCCAGATTATTTCATGTGCTATTCTCCTATCTCTGAAATCAGCTCCCAAAAAGTTTTCAAAAATTAAGTCTGCTACCAAAACACTCTATGAGCAATCAGTAGGATGGAAACTACATTAAAAAAAATCAGAGTAAGACATCAGATTATAAGTGGCACTATAATCAAAGGTGGCTTCACCTATCTTTGTATGTACATCCCAACACTGAATTCCTTGGAACCAACAGATTTATTCCTACATCTCCAAAACTAAAACACACGCTCCCTGCAATAAAAACTGACCTCCACCACTGTGTGCAAAATCCTCACCACTCAAGTGGGAGAGGCAGGTTAATGCTCAGGCTCTCTAGATGATGGTAGGAAACACTTACGCTGACTGTTAAACAGTGCAGGTACTGCTATGTGCAACCCAAATGCAGCTACTGCTATGTGCAACCCAAATGCAGCTGCAGTTCATCTGAGGTACTACAGGAAGTTATCAAGATTTTAAGCAAAAAAGCGGGTCTGTTCTCCAAGTGACTTGTTTCCATGTGGTTTACACAAACTCAAGTTAAGCAAACAAGTTATAGCAAACCCAAGGGTGTAAAGGTGGAATTAAGTGCTGTCAAAACATTTGGACCCCCTCATTTTGCACAGCACCAAGTAGTTAAGGTTTCTGCTCCAAAAAGGATGCAGGTAACATCACAGACAGCGCATATTTGACCACATGGTCTCTAACTAGCCCCAAAACCAAGAGACACAAACTGAAGCCAGCAGCTCCAGGTAGATAAAAGTCCTCAAGTCATGTCAAACGGATCCTGTACCAGGCGAAACACTGCTGCCACCAAGAGACTCAGAAACAAGGCCAGAAACACCACACAACTCCCACCCACTGAGAAGGTTATCTTAGAGGTTAAGTTTAAATTGGCTGAGCTCTGGGGAGAAAAAGTTTGCATCAGTGTATCTGTGGACAAACCCCAATGTGTCACTAAGATGTCAGGTAAAAAAGCTTGACATTACAGCTCAACCTAGAATGTGCTCTATAGCTATTTAGTCACACAAAATATGATGATACAGTCTTATCTATACGCAAAAAATTTCTACTTTTCTTTAGTAGTAAATTATAGTTTTCACTTTTCTTTAGCAATTTATTATTAGCCAGAGACTCATTTTACTCCAACATCTTCTACTCTCTTTGCTGCTTAAAGACACACAACTCAGAAACAACATAAACAGAGATAACAGAATGGTTTGGGTTGGAAGGGACCTTAAAGGCCACCTAGTTTAACACCCCTGCCATGGGCAGGGACACCTTCCACTAGACCAGGTTGCTCAAAGCCCCTGTGTCCAACCTGGCCTTGAACACTGCCAGGGATGGGGCAGCCACAGCTTCTCTGCGCAACCTGTTCCAGTGCCTCAGCACCCTCATACTGAAAAATCCTTTTCCTAATAGCTAACCTAAATCTCCCCTATTTCAGTTTAAAGCCATTACCCTTTGTCCTATCACTACATGCCCTTGTAAAAAAGTCCCTCTCCAGATTTCTTGTTTTTCATTCCCCTTTCTTTTCATTCCCCTTTGTAACACCAGCACATCTGAAATGCTTCTTCAGTCACCTGCTCCCGACAGGACTACACCATAATACAGTGTTATGGAAACTTGGCCGAATTATTTCTTTTGTATAGTAAACGGAAGATCAATTCCTGTTAAAACTCTTCAAGACAATACAAGTCAACATTTTCATGTTGATCATGAATTGCCTCCTTTCTCCTCATGGTTTCCAAGGCAATAAATGTAATTCAGATGTCCACCTTTACCTACCGCTTCCCCCCAGCCCTGAACTTCCTGCTCTAATTAGGAAAGGCACTTAGCCAAGGCCATAAATACTGCCTTGCTAATAGCACAAGAGTGCAGAGCAACACGCTTAGTCAGCTGCTTTATGTTACCTTCCCAAACCACCCCATTATTCCACCCAAGCCCTTATTTGCCGTAGTCTTTGCCTAGCGTGGGAGGGATACACATGCAGAGGTTGAACCTTGAAACATCAGGTCTCTGACATTACCACATACTTCAACAGTCACTGCAATTTAACTATTTAGGATACAAAGTAATTAAAGTTATGTCTTGCTTGCTTCTGTAAAATTAAATAATAATTTCCTGGGTTTACACAAATCTGGAATCCCCATAATCATTCTGCATATCCAAAACATTTCCAAAGCAGTCTTTCTGAAACATGCTTAAGTCTGGCTTGATTTCTAGTGCAAACATTATATTGCCCTTTCACTGAAACTCGAGCATAGTGGTGTCTATTACATCTCATTAACTCCAGACCTATTGTCCTCCATTATCAGCAAGGAAACAAGCAAAAATGGATCATTTGACAACACAAAATAAGCACATAAAACATGGATGAGACTTTTAGAATAAGACTCCCTTTGTTCACATTTGAGTTTCTAATGCCAGGCTAACAATATTTTTCATTCATTCCCCATACCAACAGGAGTATCAAGTGTCTGGAAATTAAAGAGGCAACAGGAGGCACAGATCATTAAAAATACACGAAGGAATTAAAATCCACATAGATTTCAATACGATCTATCAAAAAAAAAGTGTGTCCATTTTTTACACAGCACATTATATTTTATTTTTACTTATTCAGATCTGATCATCAAAAAACAAAATGCAAAGGAGCACACTAGCCTTGAAAAAATATTCTTTATAAAATCATAGCACAACCAACTATTTGCCAATCATCCCTAACAAAGATTAAGAAGTTTTCACAGTTAGCTTTTCAGAGATTCCTGTGGCCTTTTACTCACCATTAAGAACAGGCAACATCTTACCTGTGTTTCTTGATCCCGTTAGACAGTGACTCCCCACTGCCACAAACCTTTTCTTCAGACATGCCTGAAGTTATTGTATCTTTTGAATCCATGCTGTCCTCCAGTGAGTAGGCCGTTGTTTCAAACCCACTTAATGATTTTTCAGATTCCGAATCTGCAAAAAAGCAGGTGCATGTTAATGAATCTACTGCCTGTGCTAGACTTCAGTCACTAGCAGATCTTCCCTCTTTCTTTGTACAAAACTGAAACCTAAGTAGGCTACTGTGTTCTGATGACAGCATCCATTTGGTAAGTAACCAGTACTGCCACAGACTGCCGAAGCTCTTTATCTAGATACAGAGAGACTGCATGATAAGCAAGAACACGCTGCGTGAAAAATCCTCTATCAAACAGAGACAAAATCTGACATTTTTATTAACTTGAAGCTCCTACAACTTGCTCAGGACAAGTGCCAGCGTCACACAGATGCTAGTACCTTACCTATGTTACCTCAACATTCAAGCATTGACTCCCTTCTTCTAGATAAGATTTAAGTTTGGTCTAAATTTCCTAGGCACTCGGTGCTGCTCACAACCTTCACTTCCCAGCTTACTGAACAAGAATCAAAGAACGGAAGGAGGTATTGTACACAGCGGATTATATTAGCCACGTAAGTCCCAGCAAAGTCTAAATGATAAGCTCACCAATCAATAAGATAAACGTTGTACTCTGGAAGGTAGGTTAATAGTACAATCCATATCACATCTCAAATTAAAAATATCAACACACCACCTTATTTCCAACCAGTGTTTCGGTTAAGCAGAGCTTGACTACCTCTGGAGAAAAGACATTCTTGCTCCAAACCAGAAAGTAAGTATTTCCTGGCAAAAGGCTGTATTTTTGTTTCATGTTTTTCCTTCAAATCTGACAAGACATTATCCAATCTGACAGCATTATCCAATTGCAAGTTCCAGGAAGCAAGGGACAAGCTCAAGACCAATAAAGATGTGCTAATATCTATCCCATTTGGGAAATCGTTTAGCAGAAACCAGGTACAATACTGAATGGTAAAGAGCTTAATGCAAGCCCCACTGCTTCTGAAAAAAAGCACACGCACCCAAACTGTAGTAGACACCATTCCTGCCATGTACTTCTTTCAGCATATGCTACTGCTCTTGGCTGCAAATACCCAGAGAAATAATTGCAAGATTAGTCATCTCTCACACACTGATTCTAATTCAAAACTAGTAATGAAAACCTGCTGAAGTAGTAGTCCATTCAAAAGAATATCTCAGTCACAGCTGTCCACTGCCAGGTGCTTGCTTGTTTTCTCTTAAAAAAACTACCCCAGTAGCTTCTCCTGAACATGTAACTTAAATGTGGCTTTGGTGGACAATGACAAGAGCACTTTCTACTACATCCAGGTTACAGAAGGGTCAAGAAGAATTAAAAATCCTGATGAATGGATGGGCTGTACCACAGTGTCTCCATCCCCTCTAGAGAGTGTGAGATCTAGAAGCATAAAGGAGATCTTTCCTTTCATTAAAAACATCTATCCCTATTCCTCAGCAAGACAGTACTGATATTAAGCGAGTTGCTAGGGAATGAAAAGAACTGCCAGCTGGTGCTAAGGATATGCTAGAAAAGTGGACTGGCACTCCAGAGAATCTTCTCACAAGTTTCCCCAAATTTGTCTGTCTGGTTCTGTGCCAAATTATGGTATAACATCTCAAAGCATTAGTTTGGTGGGTACTATATATAAGAAGTAGGATAAGGAGAAGCATTTATACTTGTGGACAAGTCCGTTACATAAAATACAGATTTCTCCAGAGATCATAAGCTCAGGTAGTCAGGAAAACACTGCTGCATGTCCAAGTATCACAGAGGAAGAGACGCTCTAGCAATGAAACACAACTTGGGCTTCAGTATCCTGATTGCATGACAAGCTATAAATCCCTTCAAAGCATTTATATTATTTATATATTTATATTCCACCTCTAATGGAAAAGCTGCTCAACTGTGCCAACAGTTACCATGACAAGAAAAGCATGAAGCAAACCCATAACATAAAGCAAAGAGTCCGCCTTCTGAAAAACTCCTTCTCCTGTCTAAAAACAAGGCAGTCCTGGATGGTACAAGAGTAACAACACAAATGCCCTCAATCTGAGGTTCTGCAACAGACCTAGGACTCCAGAGGCGGAAAGGGAAGAGCAACTAAGCTTCACCTGAACCACTGACCATTCTCTGATATACTTCTCAGTATAACAAGGATTTTTAAACACTACACAGGCTCAGCTCTCCTAATGCTGACTTTACAGTGCGGAGACACAACTATGCAGGACTGACTTCAGCACCTGCAAACCTCTCCAGAGCTGTAGACAATGACCAGCCACCTTTCTCCAGGGCATGTGCCTTGCTTAATACAGGAGCACACTATACAATAAAGAACAGCAGAAGAAAGAAAACAGACACCATTACGAGAAATTGCTCTCTAGAGACATCTTTCCCATTTTCCTGGGAAACGGCTCTCATTGAGAAAGTCTGACTACAACAGCTCCTGCCAAACATCTCCATCTCCAATCCCTTAACTTCAGCAACCTCTTTTGACCCAATTAGCTTCACAAGCCTTGAGAGTTCGTTTAGGTGTCAGAGTGAGCAAGCCGAATATTGTACTGTGAGCACAGATCAATAGGCAACTAACTCAGACTGAGCTTTTCCCTGTGTACTTGCAGCTAACTCTTTTCTGAATTAAGATTTGCATACTCCCCCGTCACTGCAAAAAAAGATCTATATTCACAAGTTGCTACAGAGCAGCTGTCATACAGATGACTAGGAGAAAATGAGGGTTTTTTTCTATTGAACTTAAGGGAGTGTGGGCTGAGGTGGGGGGAGAAGGAATAAGAGTCCCTGTTCAGAAGCCAAGATTTTTAAGTGATCTTTGAGACAAGACTAGGAAGCTCTCCAGCTCATGAAACCTGAAGTGTCAAGGTAACAGTAAAAACACCAGCTACATTTTGCAAGAGTGGGAGAGCAAGGGGAAACAGCAGAAGCAATGACAGAAGAAACTTAACTCAAGGCAAGTTAATCTCCTATTGCAACAGCTGGTAACTCTTCAGTTCCAGATAAAAAAAGATTGGCCAATGTATTTGGTTAATAAATACACCTGAGAAAGGTAGTGTTTAACCACTGGCAAAGTTGGGTTCGAATTCTGACCAGGTGTTTCCCATCACTCTGAGACACCTGAATTCATTCTTTTAATTAAAGGCAAGAATACAGTTAAACACGGGCAGCAGTGTTCGCATAGAGGTTGTGCAGTATTTTTAGCATACGTTCCAAAAAAGCCACTTGACAAACTACCCTAAGCATGGAAGGAAGGGCAGTAAGTTTCTATGCTTTCTGTACAGTTTTTAAGTAAGCTGGTAACTGGTGACAAACTAGGAAGTGAACAGAAGCAACAGAACTGGTCTACTACTCCTTGTACCATTTAGGAGCATTATTCATAAACACAGCACTATTGGTGGTACGTAACAGCTGAAGCTGTACTATGACGGGCTAGCCTTAGTATAATCTAAATATTCCTGTAGCTAAATAACTGCTTTTATAGTAAGATTCCATCTATGTAAAAACACCAATACGCACCTCAACACACACAAAAGCTATGACTGCAGAAACCCCCCACTTCTCAGATAAAATCCAATAAAGAAAAAAATCAGGATAGTTCTAAGCTTTTCCCAAATCGAGTGTGCAATTTGCATATAATCAGGGAATCTTATCTGCAAGGCAAAAATCAAGTACTTCTTAATCCTTGGCCTGCTTAGCCATTTTTCAGCACTGTGGATAGACTCTGAGTTTGTATTCTGTTTTCACAAGCTTCCTGAGGTCTACATACTTAATCAAAGCTAACAACTTCTCCAGCTCTCTAAGAGATGCCATCGGCCTTATTAAATTTTGCTACTTGTTTAGTGCTGCTTCCCTTCCCCAAACTCCCCCCTCTCATCCCACCATGCATTCAATCTTGAAACCGAGAGCTCCAGCACTCCACGGGCTATCAAGTTTAATTACACATTTCCACCACTCCCATGGTGAGAGGATCAGCACACCATCAGCACACCAGGAAGCGCTGTTAACTGACCTATTGCTATCAGAGTTCAGATTAATAACACCCTTAACTTGGCTGTTCTTAACTTAACTGGGTACCATGCTTCGGTTACACAAATAACTCCTATTTCCTGTAGGTTCTTCCTTTCATGTTCAGTGTCTACTGTTCTCCAATTGCAGGGATTTAGGACTTACCTCAACAGTCAGGAAGCACTGGTAACAGCATATCACTTAAAAAGAAGAGAGACTTCAGCAAATAAACTACTGCCTCCATAAGCAGTCCTAGCACATTTCAAACATGTCCCTCACCCCAGTTTTTTCTTTTGGAAAAGAAGGAGGATGTTTCTGTAATTGTGCCCACAATTTCCCCAAGCAAAACTACCCAACACAGACTTATCAGTGACCAGCGTGGTATGTGCCAACATCAGCAGGTAGCATGGCTCAGTTGGAGCAGATCTGCAAGTCAAACAGATGGTGCTGAGGACTTGACACTTGAACGAAAAACGTTTCTGGTGGTGTTCTCTTCAGATTAGCTCTACTCTCCTACCATGAACTGAGTGTCCAATAGTAACCAGCCCATATCTTCCAATTCAGCTTCGTTCAGGAGTCAGGTTCATGCAATCAGATTGCTCTACAACGTGAATCAGAGCATGATAAATGGGGACAAGTAGCTGCTGCTGTGAACATATCCTTTCTAATATACTTCTTGTTCAAAAACCTGATTGAAAAGTCTTGCATTGCTCTGAATTGCCACAGCTAGTGATACGTTTGTCGAGAGTAAACAAGCAAAACTGTCTAATATGCAGATAACATTCTTTTAAAAAACAAAACAAAAAGCAGCAGTGGCTTCTTCTTTTAACCTGTCAAGTCAAAGCTAACAATTCTCCAGCTCAAGGTGCAAGCCAAAGAGTTATGCTATACTCTCAATTCTAAAATCACCTCTGTGGTGGAGACTTAAAATTACAAAAAGATCCTAATAGAAAAAATACTCTCAAAGTAGTGGCATTTTTCCACAGATAGACATTACGACTTGTCACATCCCTGTTAAAATACATCAGTGTTTGCTCAATCTCCTGTACAGTCTACTAAGCTAATTCATGAATATATCTATTTATTCAAAGTTGGTATCATTTAACTTAAAATACTATCAGACTGAAAATCAGGTTTAGCAAAAGCTGTGAAAACAGTCTTAGAACTTTAGAGTTCTTGGAGATAAAAATTTTCATCTTTTGGCAATCAGGCCTAGTCTCTGCTCTCTGTTATGACCTTATTTACAACCATACCCCTTGTCTCATTAGCCCAAGAAAGAAGACCCACATGCCCAAACTCTGAGCCAGTATCAAATACCCTCTCCTCCCACTATATTCTTGTAATACAGAGACAAGAAGCCTTCTAGTTGAGACCCCACAGGTATGGCAGAAAAGCAAGTTAGAAAGTATTACCAGGACCCCAGTGATGACCAAAAAAAACCCACTCCAAACCACACCCACAAAAATCTAATTCCTTTTGTGTTTATGGTGAAAGTTATAACATGCATCGAGAAGCCAGGAAAGTATGTCACATTTCCCTTTCTCTAGTCCCCCATCCATGTCCCCCCTCCCAGAAAAGTAGAAAACAGAGTGCCCTTCCCCCAGACATGTGCCTTCAGAGACACAGGACCCCAATCACTGTGAAGCACTGAATGTGAACAACCTAGAGAAGAGAATCTAACACAAGTCTGATGAAGTTGACAGGCAGTCAAGAAAGTGAGCCTGTCCTGGAAAATTATTTAAATTGCAATCAAGATGAATTATGTCAAGTGACTTCTCCCAAAGGAGAGAGAATTTTTATATGTGTATATATATACTTAACAAGTTTCACAGTTATACAAACCCACTCAATGTGATTTGTTTCCAGCTTCAAGTGAAAAAAAATACCACCTCTCAGCTGGAGAGGTGGTTTTGGACATTTTCATTTAAGAAGCTTTAGAGACTGGGTCAGTTATGAGATATATATACTAACAGCTCTTTAAAACTTAATATTCTTTCACATACACAAAAGCAAGCCTGGCTGGAGAGACTACATTCCAGCAGCACCAGAGAAACAACTATTCTCTGCCTTGTTGAGACAAGCAAAAGAGCCTGAGGCCTTTCAGTAGCACTGTTCTTTTGGTTCTGGTTGAAGAACCTATTTCTAGTGGTTTTCAATCTCTTCTCCTCCTTGGAGGCTTGATAAATTTGTTACCATGCCAAGCAGCTAAGTCTGCTATTAATTGACTGTGTTTCTGTGCTAGTGCTATACTTGAGCACTATACTTGAGCACAGACTCCACTTTGCCTGTTTTTATCCTCCAAGCTGTGCACTGCAGAACATCTATCAAGGAGTCTGGGAACACTTCTCTTACCTGTCAGAAGCATCAGACAGTTTCAATCGTAGGAAAAGTAACTCCACACTTGCTTGTGCTGTATGCCATCACAGACTAATTATCTACTACACTTAGATTATGTTCACCCTCAAGCTCTTCCAGGTCCTTCATAGTTGTAGACAGCTGTGAGCTCTGGGACCACCCACTTATGGAGCTGTATACAGTACAGCTATTACTGAGCTGTACTGTGCAACCTCTCCATACAAACCGCATGTTATAATCACCTTACGCAGTTCAGAGTTTTCCAAAATCGCTACTTCCATGGTCTGCACATGCAAACATGAAAGATACTAAACTGAAGAGCAGACAGGGAAAGAAAAGATACTTCAGAAATGCACAAAAGACTTTGATTCATCCTTTTCTTCCATCTGTGATATGGTATACAAAATAGAAATAGTACAAGCCTTTATTAACGTCATTATCCCTCAGAAGCAGGGATTTTTATGGACTGATCTTAACAACAAAACAAAATTAAAAACACCCATCATCACGGAGAAAGCAAGTCAGAAGACTACCAGATACAGTTACATCTAAAATAGGAGCCTTAAGTTTTGCTATTTTAAAAAAGGGCGTAGACACCCAACCAAGCAATCAGACCTTTCACCACTGCCCTGTGGTTTTTAAGGTTATTTTTTGTCATGCTAAAGTGAAACACCACAATTCTACAGGTGAACTCAAGCAAATTCTTAGAGGGCTGCTAAAAACAGCACATAAAGCATTCTCCTAAAATTAGTTCCACATTAGAAAGGCAGAGACTTCACTGAACGTGAGACTCTTCCCACCCCTCACCTCCCCCCAGCACATTCACCACACACATTCTGGCTATGCACTCACATTTTGGACATCCCTACTTACCTGAAACAGCATCATAGAACTGCTCCTCACTGATGATGCTGAGAGGCGGAGATCCCTTAACCAGCGACTGCTCTAGTTCATGGTGTTCAGTAGCTAGTGTCTCTAATGCTTCTGACAAGATCTTGTTTTTCTCCTGCTCATGCTCCAGTTTCAAATTCCTCACCTATAAGTAGATACATGTATGAATAAAATCTCATCTCTCTGAAGAATGTGCAGCTGGAAGCTATTCAGAAAATAGACTCTAATAAATAGATAACTGGCAAACAGCTGGAACTGAAACCACACAGATTCATGAGACTATTACAGTATTTTTGTGACGACAAAAAGGTTATTACTCAGCATTTTCAGCAGATCTTATGTCAGGTTTATAAGCTGACAGTATAAATCACAATTCCATAACTGAATTCAAAACAGAAAACCATACCTTAAAACCAAGGAGAAATATTTACTGCTCTACTTGGATGACCTTAACTATGGAGTTAGTAATCGTTTTCCACACGCACCAAGCTCCTTGTACTAGTCTGCTCTAATTTGTGCCAAGCAGCATCATCTAAATTGAATTACAGAGCAAATGTGAATGCCAGCTACAAATAACTGAAACTGAACTATGAGCCGAAAACATTTAACCCTGAGGATTACAGAAGGTTAAGAAAGAGATTCCCCTACTGATTTAACATCCATATAAACAGCCCTCCCTCCTCACTCCCAAAACAGTTTACAGAGGAGCCAGAAGCTGACAAAAAAAGAAGCCCAGCCACCAGATGGTGGACGTTTTTTTTAAGCCCACACATGCAATTGGCTACAGGAAGGATGATGTTATCCACATTCTGAGTCCAGGACTAGTAACAGGAGAGCAACATGTCCTTCCTATTTCCTCCTTGGCGTTTTTCTTTTGGTGGTGCTTTCCCGCCTCCTCTTTCTGCCAGGGAAGGGAACAGGGCTGTAACTGAAGGGCCTCTTCTCCCAGCCCAGCAAGGCTTCAATGTGCTACTACTTCAGTCCCTAAACCATTTATTCTTTTCCTTTCTCTTTCATCCTCCCTTCCAGTCCCTTTTTAAAAAGCATCCCCAACCCCTGCCTTGTCCTCTAGTTTACTCTCAAAGGTCAGTTTACAATGCTAATTCCCCCTCCACTAAGAGCATGCAAGGGCATGATAATTGGAATCTCTTGGAATAGTTACAGGGACAACTTACACATATACCAACATTACTTTTTTGAGTCTAATTTAAGATCTGTTCTTATGTCCTATCTGGTTACATTCTACATTAAAGCTTTACTTTGGAGGCTTCAGCCCCCTCAGTTATAACAACCACTCAAATAGCAGATGCACAGGCAGGCACAAATTCAGAGGCTTGAAAGGAGGTATTAAAGCAGATTTGCCACTTCCAGAGAAGAGTTTCTATGCTGGCAGCAACATATCCTCTGGAGAAAGATTTATGGGAGATATTTTCACCCCCTCAGTTGTGTCAAACACTAAAGCAGCTGGTTGGCTGCCAGGCTCTGTGTATAAAGGGGCAATGCAATTAAATTATAATTAAGAGAGTATAAAATTGGATTGCTCATTGAAAACAATGAAACCAGTAAGTCACCTATCGTCTAATAGTTTTACCCTGAACAAAAGGAAAGAAATGGTCTGGACTAGTTACTGTCACTTTCATTTAAAGTTCATTCTGACAGTACCAACGAAGTCAATTACTGCAATGTTTCATACAAATCAGACATGCAAAAATCTGTTATTAAGCACTTTCTGCAGGGCTTACCTTTCATATGCTATTAAACAGTCAAGGAACTGCCCATTTAGAGAAACAGTATTTCATCCTCCTGAGATGGAGAGTGGAAGGCAAAATAAAATGATCCTTTTCATTCATTGAACAATGAATTAAACAAGCAAAGTGAGTTATGAAAACGGAATTTGCACATTTTTTGCAGTACTGAATCAGATGACTGTATGCTCTAGTATTTTGTTTTCATAAATGATTTAAGTGATTTAAAGCTTTACCTAGAGCTATTTTCAATGACAGCTAACTGGGGGGGGGAATCATCGAAATCTATCTAAAAAAACCCAGATGAACCTTCTTTTGCATCCTCTGAAAGCATGGCAGTGTGACTGAAGTAGCAACAACAGACACAGACTTAAGATACCACACCTCCCCAAAAAAATCTTGAAGGTTCTTCTGCCCTATTATAATGTAGAGCTATGCAGAACTGCAGAAGGTGTACTAGAAATAAAGTCAACTTTTGGAAAATAAATAGCCAGCTTTACAGTAAGGTTGATTTGTCTGTGTACTTCCAGGCTTCCTATCTGCCAAACGCTTACCAGTACAGCAATCACACACTACCAGTTGGTAACAAAAAAGAAAAAGAAAAAAAAAGGCTTCTCATCAGTTACATAAGGAGCAGGATACTAGCCAGAGGCTAAGGAAAAAAGCAAACGTGTTTAAGTTTGTTGCTTGTAACCTCTGGGATACTAATTCCTATCTGAACAAACTGGTTTTAAAGCAACCTTAATTCAACACTTGGGGGCTGGAGGTTAAAGTCCAATATAAAACTTCTGTCAACAGTACTGAGCTTGTGGGGTGGACACACATGTTCAGAGAGCCAAGAGGTGGGCTCTGTGAACCTCTACAGCCTAGTACTTGGTGAAGGATAAGAGTTCACACTAGCAGCTCTTTGAAGGTAGTGGTCTGGAAATACTGCGTGTAACTATACTGTGTCATTAAGCATCGTAAGAGTTCCACAGTGTCAATGTGAGAACTATAAGTTAATAATATTAATAAACAAATAAAGCTTACCAAGGAATACAGGCAGATTGTCACTATTGTCAAAGCACAGGTTTATTGAACAACAGAATTGACCAGCTGATAAGTTTTCCCAAAATGCAAGTAGATTGCTGTTATGCATAATTTTGCCATACTCTATTTTGCATTCACAAGACATGGCCAATGGTTCAGTTCTGAGGTGAACTATTCCATCTTCCTGGCTACTTGACCACCATTTTTGGAGATGACACTTCAGCTTTATCCCTTTTCTAGAAGCCTTTTCTTCCCCATCCTTTCTTTAGTGTTCCAACAGCAAAACAACTACAAGATTACAGAAGGAACTTCCAAACTAGTTTTAAAAATGTTTATTAACACAGAATCCTTAGGATCTATGTATAAAGAAGAGAAACATAAAATAATGAAGAAAACACCCACTTTCAGAAGCATACACGCTTCAGTCTATTGAACTGAACACAGACAGACCAACGTTCTTCAGTGGGTATCAGATGACTTCTTGAAGTTGCATTACTTGAATATGACACTATTGCACACAGTGACAAACGTATTTATACAAGGTAGTAAATACCACACCAAAATGATGCAGGTATGTACATAGCTCTGGAAATCCAATCTGAGCATACCCAGGAAAATATCAGAAGAGACATTTTATTGCAGCCTGAAAAAGGCACAGCTTGTGATACAGTCATGGTTTCTGTACCTTCAGTAGTGGTGCCTGAGCTGAGACAGATGGCAGTTCACATCATACTGGGGTTCAGTCCTCATCCTCCAGCTACGGAATAGCTTTTTTCTTTTTGAACTCTGTCACTGGTCCCCGCAATGCCAATACCACCATCAGCATCACAAGCTTCCCATTGAGCTACACAGGGACAGCAGCACAGAGCCTCCTAGTGAGCCTGCCATGAGGCCAGCCAAGTTCCCAGTGTTCAACTGGTGAGGTTTCCTACCTTAGCCTTGTCAGGAGCTATTCTGCACAAGAGCAATTATAGTTATCAATAAAGTTGGGCTTGTGCTTGCATTGTTAGACAATGACAGTTAAGATCAGTCTTTTTAAACTCTAAAGAGATTATTATTATAGTGAGACTTCAGATTCATAATTATTGATGGAAACTATTAGCTTTGTCTCACAGAAGTACACAATCATTCAATCATTAACCTTACAGCTACAGACTCCGCTATAACCTGATACACTGACACAGAACCACCAAGACTTCAGTATCTAGGTCAGTACAACGATTTATAGAAAGACACTTCTCTAGCTGAAGGGGTTTGATATCCAAGTTATGGTTTCACTTCTGGTTTAACTGAATGGCAATCTGCTTCCAACGGCTTCCCATAAATTGAGTCCTTCAGGCTGTAAGCACTGAATTGGGAGCTTAAGTAGTATAATTATTTTAGCAGTCAGACCTCTATTTTATCTTTTTTTAAAGGAAAGCAACAAGCTATTTGCAGGCACTTCCACTGTCTTTCTATGCCACTAAAAATTCTGCTAAGCACAAGAGGATGTTTTAAAAGTTAACTGCTTCACTGTGTGTTACTAGCAGAAAGTTCACATGCCTATTCCAAAATATCAAAAAGCTTATCTGTGTGTAACAAACACCAGATCTGTTCCTTTCTCTACCCTCAGCATCCACGAGGTAGGTGAGAGAACTGTAATATGCACCAAACCACTATTTTTCTCCCCCACCTCCTTTTCTTGTTTTTTTAAAGCCTGAAGTCTTGAACTCTTATCGGCACAGCCTGTAACCAAGGCTTCTCTGTCCATCCTGAAGACATCTCAGCACAATACACAAAATACTTGCTTTGTTTGGTGCTGGATGCTTTTAATTTAATGCCCAACAACAGAGGCACTTTTGTGGGGTAGGAAAGGGTCACACCACCGCATGGCCAGCTAATAAAAAGAAAATCATCACAGCTACATGCTACTGCAGCTGCAAGTAAATCCTAAAAACAACACACAGCAAGACATAGAACAAATACAGACACCTCAACAGTATGTACAGCTACCTGCCTTTAACAATAGTAAATTAAAAGACAACATACCTTAGCTCTAGGCTCTCCTGAACTGAGAGAGAGAAGACAGACTTCACAACACTGCAGTGCGATTTAGCTGCATTTTACTTTCCACTCAACTTCAGTGCTAGAAGTAAGAATGCCCAAATACGTAGACTTTCGAGTTGTGTAGGAAGGAAGAACCACCTCTTTCACATAGCAACCACCAGGGGATCTGAAGCCAGATTCTGATGCATTGTCAGTACACCATGTACCAATTCTGCTCTGCAGTAAGCAGAGTGCAGGAGAGCGGGCTGTGACACTGCCTCACCAGTGTTTCCGACTGCTTGGAAGCGGGGTTTTGGTTTTCAAGCATGAATGACTTTGT